TTCCCGTATGAACGCATTCCCGCAAATGCGACACTCCCTTCGCTCGTGCCGCATTTGCGGGAATGCGGGAAGCAGGCTTCACGAAGGTGTTGTGTACAACGAATAAACTTTTAAACTGAAGAGATTAACTGTGACGTTGACAGCGCCGTAAATACGTCACAGTGTTGACACTATCCGACTACTTTAAGGTTTTCATGGCAACGGAAAGCAAAACGCACGCATGTGGGAGGTTCGACCTCCCGCACCTTGGTGAATGATGAATCATCAAAAAAGGTCATGAGTGCAAAAAAAAAAGTATTTTTTGTCTTCTGGTACCATTGTGCCATCTACCTACTCTTTTTACTTCCCGACCGTAAGCAAAGGAAGTATTGTAATCGAGTCCGTCGGCTGACTCTCTACTTTTGCATTTTCTCAACCTATCATGACCCCTAGAAGACAAAGAAATAGGTCTCCCGTTTCCGTCTGTCTATCCGTCTGTCTGTCTGTCCGTCTGTCTGCCGTCTCGGATTTTTATTACACAGATAATCTCCGAAAGTACTGGGCCGATTGTTGTCAAATTTTGTATTTATATTACATACGTTACGTAGATGATAAAACGCTAACCAAAATTTGTCTAATCATCCCCACCACTAATGTGATGACGTCACTTCAAAATTGTACATAGTAAATGGGTTTTAAATTGTATAAAATAACATAAACACATGTAGTTCATGACTCCGACGTTTTTACCCGAAACGTTCAGATTTTTGGAAAAAAATCAGAATTGTAAAACAACATTTTGCAATTTAATTTTGAATCTGCTAAACCGAATGTTTTGAAATCTTGCAGATGTTTTAAGGTTATAAAGAGCATAATAAATTTTTAGTCAAAATATATTTGGTTATTCCCTTCAAAAAATTGATGACGTCAGCTCCAAAGTTTGCCAAATAAATCCTATCCAAAATGTACAAAATATGATGAGTCTGTACTTGTAATTTATCATTCCATTTATATTTTTTGGATTTGCATATACACGGTGACCCAAAAAAATTAATGAATGCATAAATTTATTTTATTGATTTACTCAGGAACTACAAAACCAAATGCTTTGAAATCTTGAAAATGTTTTAAAGTTATCATAAGCTTGGTAAATGTTTGATCAAAATGTATTTGCTCATCCCCTCTAAAAAATGTATGGCGTCACTCCAAAATTTTGCTGAGTAAATCCTATCTAAAATGTAGAAAATATGATGAGTCTCTTCTTATGATTCATCATTCCATTCATATTTTTTAGATTTGCACATACAGGGTGAAAAAAAAATTAATGAATTTGTGAATTAATTTTATTGAGTTAATCAGGAACTCCAAAACCGAATGCTTTGAAATCTACTGAGAAAAAAAACATAATAGGCATGCAGTCGTCACGTTTCCAACAACGATGGAAGTACTGTCTAAAATCCTTGGACCAATTTTTTTAAATCGCAAACAATAACACACGGAAGCATAAACTAAGTGAACTGGTCACGATTGGGCACTAATCTAAACAAGGACAGGTACCCATCGCAGGTAGAAAAGTGTTCACTATCACAGAGAAACGATGACGGACGCCTCTGAGGTTGCGGCCATTCGAAAATGCTGGATGTTTCATTGTACTTCAGTGGCGAGGGAAGTTCTGTCGAAACAACTTTGGACCAATTTTTTGGAATATGAACAGGGTGATTCGACCTAAATGACGAATGTAATTTGTAGATAACGGCAACCCGAAATACATTATTCATCTATTTCTTGATTAACAGTAGAATTCCAAAAATATCACAAATCCACGAAGTCTGTGGTTTTAAAACCGTCATAACTATAATTCTCTGAAAATGAGTGTCACGAATCCATCGTGGATTTTCTTGCGCGCATTGTGTTTGTTTATAGTGCCATTGTTGGAAAATTTAGACCCTTCACGAAATAAAAGGTTCCTGATAAAATTGAGATCATTTATCAGCTGTTTCCGAACAAAATTGCAAATGCTTAATCTTCATGAAAAGTCACTCACATTATTCAATGATTATGTCTCGAGAACTAGTTCACCTCGAGGCTGCGTCAGTCGGTAAAGTATAGTTCTCTCGACAGGAATGAAATATTTTCGCCTCGGTATGTAATATACTATTGTAGTATTAATTTTCTACGACATAATTTCTCCAGGGAACATGTTCTCTGATTTCTCTCTGTCTCTAAATCACTGATGAATGACTGAATGGGCACTGACAACATGGAGTCACTATATGCAACTTATAACACAGTATCGATATCATTCAGTAGAAATCATCCATTCATCCATTGGACACAGATTATGGATACCAGATAGTTCACTCAGCTGTCGGCACTTTGAAATCGGTGTCCCGAGATTTCAAGCGGTATTCACGCTACTACGCACGCTCTACCAAAATTGGTTCGCAAGCTTTGAATTTAAAAGCACGGCGGTCAGAGAAAAATTACAGCGATGATGCAAGGGATGAGGTTCTAAGTGAAGAAAAAACGAACAAAATACTTATTTGCCTTACACAAAATGATTTATGATTATTACAAATGCTTAACATTTCACAATTTCCTCTGAAAAGAATTGCGGACACATGCATCGGCATTAAAAAATTTTAGAGCGTAAAAAACACGTATTCTCGAATATAGTGCTAACAAAAAAGTGGTGTTAAAATTTTTGCATGGTGAATAAACGTAACCTCTTTAACTATACGGCTTAAAGGGTTACCGAAAGTTAGAAGAATTGAAAGGCATAGTTAATGAAATTTGCTGCGCTTGCCGTTCTGAATTTTGTTGTTACAGTTTTCTAATCTATTCGTCTTTATAGTGATCTTCGATTTTTGGTGGTTAGTTAAGACTGAAACGAGTTTAAAGGAAAAGAAGGAAAAATGTTTTATTCTCTTATTCATTTACAAAATCAGGCATTATAGACAAGATATATTTACTAAACGATACCATAATACAGTTTAATGCAGGTAGGTATTTATTTAACTAATTTTCTGATTATTTTAAAACTTTTAAAAGATTCCTTCGTAACCAAAAAACGTAGAAATTAATCCTTGTAATGTTATTTATTCCCTGAATTATTACCTAAACTTTTATTTTTATATCTGCTTCATTGTAAATATTATTTTGCGTGTTAATCTGTCGAACCAGTTTCAAAGAGATTTAAAAGTGCTGAACCAATTTTAGTGTCATGCGCACGGAAAATTTGCGGACAGTTACGCCCACAAGTGAACCATCTGGTATCCGTAATCTGTGCATTGGATGATGAATATGCAACCCAACATACATGAATTATCCTATGTTCAGAGAGAAAAAAACCTCACGGTATATTAGCGTTTTCTAATAACGTTGAATTTTACAACCATTTACAACCATCACGGAAAAGAAATTAATGAAGCGTAAAATCGTAATCAGAGAAGCGGGGCCACATCTGAATTTCAACGCGGCATCTCTGTTATAGGATAGGGTGCTTAATTCATTAATATCTGGTTGACCGAGCTTCACTCGGCTCGTTTGGTAGTATTAGATCAGATTAGGACAGATAAATATGCGTATAGTATGCATTTTGAAGTACACGCGCTAGTTAAAAATACACATTAAAAAAGAAATTCCATAAGCGGTCTTTGTTTTAAATAGTGATGAGTGACATGTAGAGATTAAAGAATGGAAAACTGGAATTATTGCTTGACATTTTTATTAAAATCTCATTTGTTACCCAAGTTCTCTCTCTGTCGTTCTCTTTTTTTCCTAGTTCTCTCTCTCGACTCTAGAAAAAGGTCACAACCACTTTCTTACTGCCAGAATGGTTTCGCCTCTGGTGTGATTAACATACTGAGTTACCGTGCTCTTTTGCGTTATTCCTAATTTCTCAATCTCAACCCTGCTCCCGAAGATGCCACTTACGAAAGTGTGCGAAAAGTTGAGCCCAAAAACTGAAATAATACGGTCCCATCCCGGAAAACGATCACATATTGACCCTGACCGTCGAACCTCTGAAATGAATGCTTGACAACATAACCTTAACTCAACGCACTTTCGTGTGCCTTTTATCCGCTCACTGTTTAGTTTTCCGTAAATTTTGTCACCTCAGAGGGTGAATTTTAACGTCCTCTATACAGTGGAGTATGTTTCGGTACGTACAATTGAAGATAAAAAGGTACGTCAAACGTACTGTCAGACTGTCACCCAAACTTCTCTTATAAAACAATCTCGTGTTCGTGTAGTGTCATCCGATGTTACCTAGCAACGAATATAATTCACTGCCTGAAAATTGCTGAAAATGTATGAAGCTGTAATTTTCAGAAGTTAAAACTATGATGAATCGATTTCTTGACCCAAAAAACCCCCAACCTGTAAATTTCATCGAAATCGTTAGAGCCGTTTTCGAGAAACCCATTATATATATAGATATATATTTATATATATATATACAAACTTTGCTCGTTTAATAGTATAAGATTTATTACAATAGACTGTGTGATTTCTAAGATCAACTAGTTACAAAATGTTATTGTTATTACACTATTTTTAATTCTTTTCCAAAAATTCATTTGCACAAAGTGTAGGAAATTGTGTATACGAATCAATTTTAAAATTTTCAAATGAAGCGTTTGTGATACTTTTTAAATTGGGTGGCGACATCTAGAAATAGTTTAGGCAACGACCACCGATCACGGCTTAAAATTGGAGTCAGATCAAAGGCGCCGACACGAGTTGTCCCTACTGAATGATCTCTATACTGTGCTTATAACTTCTAGTGCTGTAACCAGTAATACATATAAATGCGAATACAAAATTTGAAAACAACTAATAATATAGTTAAACAAAATTTATTTGTTTATAAATTAAATGTAAACCGATGTTAGTAAAGAAGGAGAGTAGAAACAATGAAAACTGAAAATTATTCCCTAAATATTACAGAAATCTGCATACCCTCCCACAAAAAAAACGAATTAGGGATTTTCTTATTAGATAACTAGCAAGTAGCAATAGAAACGTCAAAGATGTCAACTTGTCAAATATCAAAACCTAAATAGACGTAAATCGAATAGAACTCAGCCCGAGATGATAAATAGATTTAAAATAAACAGAAAGTGTGAACATTAAGTTCGTGATTAATCTCCCGGGAGGAATATCTTGCAAAGTCGGTGCAATTAAAACGATGAGTCATCTACAATATCATAAAATGATATCAAAAACCTAGTATTAAAAAATAAAACAACACAAGTTTGGTTAAAATCTAAAATATGTGCCTTACTTTGAGTATTAACAAGTTAGAGTTACGTTAATTATTTTTGCAATGGATGAAAGAAGAGTGGCTGATTATTTTGTCGTGGCTGGATTACCAGATGATCCCGAGCCTTTGGATGAAACAACATTATCAGAAGGGGGAAACTTGAAAGCGAGTCATGGACAACCCCCCATTACAGATATTAGTGTGATCTTCCCAAGTCTGGGAGAGAAATTACCTCCAGGCTATATTATTGTGGAACGAACACCAACAGGTTTAGTTGCTGATCTCAATCATGGTAGCTTAAGAACAAATGAGTGCTACCTGTGTTACAAGAGGGGAAGGGATAAACCTCCCTTGGTTGATATAGGTGCGATACTTGCAAATGTAACATTTAATCAAATATTTATTATTTATTATTTTCAGGTGTTATGTACGATGGTAAAGAGTGGCTGATGCCTGATGCAGAAGTTGTTAAAGAAACTGTAGGCAAACATGTTGCCAATGTTAATAATTCTACATCTCAGACGTTTATTACATATAGAAGGGGGCACCCCACCATGCCTTGTAATGCTCTTGTCGTTACAGATGTATGTGTTGTGATTGCAAGTAAAGGTGAATCTCCACCACATGCGTTTTGTTGCATAAACAAGAACTTAAATAAGGGAATTGTTGGTAGTGATGTTTTTCTGTGTTATAAGAAATCTATGAATAGAGCAAAACTGTTAACTTACAAACCTGCTGTCTTGTCCAGGTGAGTTAAACATTTCAAATTGATGAGCTAAATATGAAAATTCGTTATTTATTTCATATGTTAATTGCATATTCTTTACTCTGTACAAACTATTTTTTTTAAAGAGCACTGTTAATCAGATGTAATTGTTTCTATATAAAATAACATTAGTCATTTCACTAAAAACCTAAAGTGTAAGTGCTACTAATAGTTTCATTATTTCAGGTAAAAACCAATACAAAATTCTTTGAATTGTGTGCACCAATAATTTTAAGAACAATGACTTTGGTAGGGAAAATCTGAATGAGTAACTTTTAGAGTGTATACATTTTACTGATAACGTAATCTGCTTAAGATATTATATATATATTTTTTTTTAATTATTGAGAAAATATGCAAATGGCAGCGTCTGAACTGATCAAACAGATACAAAACTTAATAGCACCACTGGTGATAATGATCAATTTATTTTATACAGTGTATTAGATAATAAATATTAAGAACAAACAAGATGACCAAAAATACACATTTTACAGGTCGTTATTTTTTTATCCATGTACATATGACTAAATATTAAGAATTGCTATAGATTCAAAATAGCAATAATAATGAATTGACAGGGGATCGACCCTTGCATCTTACACTTTTTACATCTTACAACTTATTGTTTAAAGTTCAAAGATTAAAATGTTTACCTTGCACTTTGTCCTTTTTTTACTTGATTAATAAATAATATAACTTTAGTTCTTGAGTTTATAATCTTTATTATTATATGTATAACGCTTATAAATTTTTACTTTTGGAAATATCTCGAAATATAACTCATCAATTACAACTTGTCTGCTAAAAATATTTACTACGAAAAATTAGGTATTGAAAAATTGCAGGTGTTTTGTTGCCTATCTTTATCCAAAAATGTATTTAAATATCTTCAGTGACCCAACGGGATTCCCAAATAAAACTCATTTGTACTTATATACAGGGTGTTATTGAATGGTACGTACAACAAAATTGACAGTTCTTCGCGAAGTCTAAGAATCTTGAAAAACTTATTTTGTGTTATCAAAATTATCTAACATTTTTAGACGCTCTGAAGGATAAATAGGTAAAATTAATTTATTTTAGTAAATCCTAGCAACTGTAACAATAATAAAAAAATAAGAGACCCTTTTGTTGCTACCTGAACTTTTTTTTTATTTTAGCACCTATACTTCGAGACCAATTGCCGATTTTATTTTGTGCGTACATTTGAATAACACGCTGTATATTATTAAAAAAACATTACTGAATTTACAGGTTACTGTCATAAATACGTAATTGTCTTGTTGAATAATAAACAGTTTATTTTGCTAGGAAACACGAAATTTTAAGTTATTGTGGCGATACTGCATCAGTGTTTATTATGTTTATCCCAATATGCCAAAAAAATTGTTCTACACCACACTTTGAAAACAATCAAATTCGATTTTTTTTACTTCCAGCGATAAGTAGCATATTTTATTAATCTGTTCTATATTATATAGGCGTTTCACAGATTACAAAATACAGAAATGTACGTGTATCAATAATCTGTCTGTTTATTGGAAGTTTATTGAATGAATAAGCTGTTTGAAGTAAAATACTTTGTTTACTTTAAGATTATTAACATGATGGTAAATAACCAAAACGTATCCCTTTGAAACCTTTAAAATGTGATAACGTTATCTCAAGTTAATACATATTAAATAAATCTCGCAAGTGTTTACTGGTTCAATAATGTAGCTATACTGTTCCTTACATAGATAAGTTGTTATGAAAAATATATGTATATGTTTGGACTATCATGTTTTTGATAACTTTCTTTAAAATTATAATTTAGTAATTAAAAATATTAAACAAAATTAGCTACCCCTTCTAGAAAACTAGTTTTGTCACAAAATTTCAACAACTCGTCTAACTGGCCTGTACTTCAGTGAAATGCTTTTATTCTTTAAATTATTATTTTGGAGCCTAATTAAAAATACTTGTAATTTTCCCGGATTGCTAACAACAATGACAATACAACATTATGATTAGCGTTGCAATTTGCATATCATAATAAATATATTGTATTACTTCCGGAACATCAGCTAAGGAAGTATTGTAATGGAGTCCATCGGGCGACTAGCTATTTTCATATTTTCTCGATGTTTGTGTCATAACCCCTAGAGAGCGAAAAAATAGATCTTCCGTTACCATCTGTCTGTCCGCCGTCTGTTTCAATTTTTTGTTAAACAGATAATCTCCGAAAGTACCAGACCGATTGTTGTCAAATTTTGTATGTGTATTATGAATATTATATAAATGGTAAAACATAGCCCGACTTTGTCTAAACAGTGTAATAAAGTCACCTCACCAGAATTAGGCAAAACCGAAGTGATGGGGAAAATTCAGACACATATTAAAAACGACGGCGCGACGTCAGGCATAAATTTGGCTGGCCGACTGTGCAGTCTTAACCTCAGTGGCTTTGATGCAATTCAGGGTTTATCTGATCAAGATCATCACGAAAATTGTGATGTTGAACAGTAATTTTTAATTTTTAAAGTATTTTAACATCTAGGAAAACTCGTATAACTGAGGAAAAACTAGAAAAAGTAGTAACTGTTATTAAAAATTCCCGAAGTTGTAGGCCACGACTGCAATAGCGCTGGCAATCGGACGGCAGTGAGCATCACTTCCGCGATGCCGAAGTCTGGTGATCACTATAAAGGAACCTTGACGTCACCTAAAAATTGTACCTAGTTAATAGATTTTAAACAGTATAAAATAGCATACTCCTACAGGTGTAGTTATGAATTCATATTAAATTTTTACCCGAGACATTCAGATTTTTGGGGGGAAAAAAATCAAAATTGTGTAACAAAATTTTATGATTTAGATTTGAATCTGCAAAACCAAATGCTTTAAAACCTTGCAAACATTTTAAAGTTATCGTAAGCATGGTACATTTGTAATCAAAATATATTTGTTTATTCCCCCAAAAAATTGATGACGTCATCTCAAAATTTTACGAAATAAATCTTATCGTAGCGTAAGCTAAGGAAGTATTGTAATGGAGTCCATTGAACGATTGCTACTCTCATGTCTTTTCGACGTTTTATGACCCGAAGCGTAGGAAAAAATAGGTCTCTCATCTCCGTCTGTTTGTCTGCCATCTATCCGCGTTTGTGTCGATTTTTATTGGACAAGTATAATAACAATATATTACCAAGACAAGGCTTCGTAACGTAGAGAAATTCTAGGGGAAGGACAATCTGCGGTCGTGGGTTCGAGACCAAACTTGGCCCTTTCGGTTTTTTTTTTCCTTGCATTGGTAATCCTCTATGACTTGTTTTCTTTTGTGCTATGGATAGTATTATCTATGTTAATGACGTCATTACAAATTTTTTATTGGTCAAATTAAGAACGAGTCGCCCCATTTTCTCGAAAATGTAAGAATACGCATGTCTTTAAATAATAATGATAAAATAAGAATTATAATATTCAGAACATTTTGTTCGATTGTGGTTTAATTAATAATTTTAGTCCTCTGTTTTGAGAAGACAAACTCATTCAAATCAAACTAATTTCTACGTGACTTTTTATGTATAAACATAAAGAAGGTTCACATTGCTATTGCCTAGTGCTGAAGGACATTTTATGCCGTTAGTTATGTGCTTTGAATATATTTTACATTTTCTGTACGGTGCAGGGACTGCGGGAGTGTTACTTACGCCGCTGGTTTTTACTTTACAGAGGTTATCACAAAACGAAATTCGTAAGGTCAAATTTTATATATTTCTTAAAGAGCTGGATTTGTCGGATTATACTTCAAGGACGAGGGAAGTTTTGTGGAAATAGCGTTCGACTAATTTTTTTTACTAAGAAATTTATAACGTTCAAAAATGCCTCTTGAGATGTGTACATGATTACTTCCCTCTCAATACTATTCTTTTATTTTTCAGAACTGCTGTTTATAATTAGCACAATTTTGATAAATTTGATATCTTATTTTTTAGGTACCCCATGACGGACCTTCCAAATTTTCCGTTCCCAAACTCGGTGCCTTTGTTCTGTCTGCCGATGGGTGCGACTTTGGAACTATGGCCAAAAGAAGCAACTCAACCGAAACCAGTATTCAGTACATTCGTCCTGACCGTTTCAGACGCAAAGTACAAAGTTTACGGATCGGCTGTAACATTTTATGAGAAATTCTCCCATCATCAACTCAGTGATGAACAAAGAGAGTTGTTAGGTTATTCAGACAATTCTGACTACATTTTAAACATGAACAAAAGCATTTGTTTGTTATCACACTGGCCGTTCAGCGACGCTTTCGAGACATGGCTGCTATTTCTACACGTAAGTTAACAAAAACTTGATTCACACGCACGTTGAATACAGATGGGTTGTAGAACATTGTAGCAAGCGGAGAACCGCAAGCCATACCGGTCGAAAGATACATAGTTCAGCTCCTGGACGAAGTTCCCTTTCCTTCTCCGCGAACATTACTCGAACTTTCAGATCACAACGATAATCAAACGATCAGTAATAAAGTTATTATGACACAGCCGGAAGATTTACCTTTGCCAAGGAGTGCGGCTGGTTTCAGACATTTGCTACTCAATTTAGGATCGGAAAATTGCCTACAAGTGCTACTTTTAGCTCTTACTGAACAGAAAATTCTGATACATTCATTACGGCCTGATACTCTGACAGCTGTGGCAGAGGCAGTATCATCACTACTTTTTCCTTTCAAGTGGCAGTGTCCGTATATCCCTCTGTGCCCATTGGGTAAGTGAATGGGTAATATATTCTCAACTTTCATATAATATCATCGAGTAATGATAAAATGTACAACTTTATTATTTTAAAAAGCAGTTTTACTGCTACTGCAACAAATAGCCAAATAAATGTTACAAAGAATTTCATACTCATCATCCAAATGTTTCCAAGGTTTCTTCATGTAGTGAAAACCGATGTATTATAACGGGTGTCTAAATAAAAAACTGATCAAGAGTGTTGTCAGCAGATTTTGTTTTTTTTTTTTCGTATATCATTGTCATGAATTTTGAAAGCTGTCACCCTCTAGTCACATCGACTGTTGTGAATTAATAACCGTTAAAGTGAGTTTAACATCGAAATTACAACTGTCTCGAACACTACGACATACGGAAAAAAACAATAAAATAGAAAGCATCAAGGTTTTAATTAGACACCCGATACAATAAACAAATGTGCAGAAGATGTGTTTTACATTTCTGTCAGAAAATTTCAACCAATCATATTAACGCATCTTACCAAAATCACCTAGCAACGGAAGAATATGACCACAACATGTGCTTGTAGTGAATATTTTTGATATTCTACAAAAATAAGTATTGACTAAATTATTTTAAAAGTTTATTTATTCGAATAATGAGATACACATTTATAATAGTTATTAGTCGCAATTTTATTACTTGTAGCTTCGCTTGGCAAACTTTCATTTCTCATTTTTGAAATCAATTCAGTTTGATGTTCTTCATCGAGTTTTAAGTATGAATTGATTGAGCTCACACTGTTGTGACCTGTAATTTTCGTTTTTTAGTGTTCGCCAACACCACCTTTTGCCAAATTTGATGCGGCACTGGAACGGTTGTTAATTCAATTAATATGTCAGCTGATCTGTAAAATGTCAGGTATCGTGGACGAATTTGACGTGGTTAGTTAGTTAGGTGGTTTCATGAATAAATGTCATTAAAAAATTGGTTTTCTGTTTTATAAAAAAGTCCGGTTGTTGTATGTTGAGATATAAAAGCAATGGTGCAATGGGTATAAGATTATTTTGTTTGCAAGTGGTGAGAAATATATATAAATATATAAAAAATACTTTCTACATAATGTTTAATGTCTCACCGTAATATTCTCCAATACCAAAACCGCACTATTTATTATTCAAATTCATTTTTCATAAATTCACAGTTGTAATAAATGTAAATAAAAAATAACTATGCATGGAAACACGATAGAAATCAATTATTGTTATGATATGGTAGACCCGGTTCGGATGAAAATGTGAATGGCTAACAATTAACATTAATTAGATTTTATGGAATCTGAATTTCAACTGACGGTTTGTGAAATAGAATTAGTTAATCTGAATTTCAGTTTATGTGTTCTGAAATAGAACTGATTAATCTGAATTACAAGTTATATTATCTGAAATCAACTTCACTTTTCTAAAATATAATTGGAAATACTGTAGAGCCCAATTTCAAGTTGGATTCCTACTGTTTTTAAATTGGATAGCATTCAAAATTGCAATATTTTAAAGTTGGCGGGTAGTTTTGAACGAAAATGGCGGATGATTGCGGTACTTTATATATCTAGTGACTTTAGTAAGTCCCTAGTGTCCCTGTAGAGAGAGTTCCGCAATTGCTTTACTCACTACCTTGGACTTAAAATGGCGGCTCGGCATCAGCTGGAAGAAAGTTAGTTTTGCTTGTTGTTTTGATTGTTGTTTTTTGGGCAAAAACAGGTCGCGAATGTGTGTATAGTGCGTGTATATATAATATGTATATAATATTATTTACTTGGAAAACATGGGAATAATTTTATAGATAAAAAAAATTCTTACCAATAGTGCCAGTATTACAAGTAGTAAGAGTATTGCGATGCGTATTTTGGCAAACAAAATGCAATAAGACATTTCAGTATTTCTGCGTTTCATTGACCTTTCGTTCGTATACCTAAATTCTTGTTATATCATTAAGATCCAAATTAAAACAGTATTATAACCTGGATGATGTGAATAAAATTGGGAAATAATACTTTGTTTCGATTCAAAAATTGCCCTTCGTTTTACTTTTATTCTAAAAATTTATTGTACCACAATTTATTATTATTCATACCTTCCATCAACTTGGTCCGTTTAAAGTTGGCGCGTGGTGTTGGAGTTACAATGGCGGAGGTTTGCGGAACTCTCTCTACAGGGACACTATAAGTCCCTTGCGTTGCGCGCCCTCATACGATCACAAGTCAAACGACCACCCATGAAAACGGGTCACTAAAAATAGCGAGTTGTTCCTACTGAATGATCTCTATACTGTGACGTAGTTTCAGACTTCAGTGTATACTTGTATTCATTAAACAAATTATTATATTTGCAGTTATTTTAAATGCACGTTAATGTTACTGCCAATTAAAATATTTTTTATATGACAATATTGAAATTATTTAGGTTTGGTGGAAGTTCTTCACGCACCTCTACCTTTTCTGATCGGCGTGGACTCAAGGTTTTTCGATTTATATGATCCTCCACCAGATGTTAGTTGCATCGATTTGGACACCAATATTATTACAGTTGAGTTATTCAGTTTCTTGCAATCAATGTTTCAAACCAACGAATTTCAGGTTGCAGAATCGCAAAGACAGAATTTAAATATTAAACTCTTGCCTAAAAAGCCAGCCAAAAGTTTGAAAGCAAGTTTAGATTACTTGTATTATCAAATTAGGAACAATAGCTCCAATAATGCTGAAAATTTGCCAGGACAGGATAATATAGAAATCGAATTCAGAAAAAAAGAAAAAGAGGTAAATTAAGTCAGACCCGGAAATGTATTAATATTTCCTGTTGGATTTTTCATTATCGGATTGACAATTAAAAATATAGAACCTGTAGTTCAACTATTTAGTATTATATTCGATTTTTAACAATGCAACAATTAGTCTGCGGTGATACTACAAGCTCGTGTAAAATAATTTGTTTGCTACTTCCTTAGTTTATAATTATTTCTTAAGCGTGCGAATGGTGTACATATATAAAAGATAATCAATGTAATATAACCAACAGGTAGTGTTAATATACCTCCAATTTCCCTTGTGATATACGTGAACTTTAGTAGAGACTAACTTTTAAACTAATAAATTAGCAAGCTCAAGAACTTGAAATCCAAGAAGCTTTTTTACGATTCATGGCCCTTACACTGAAGGGTTACAGATCGTACCTTCTCCCAATTACTAAAGCCCCAACTGTGGGTACAACCGATCCTCAAGCTCTCTTCCAACTCACTGATTTTCTCAAAAGTCGTGATAAAACTCATCATAGATTCTTCACTCTAATGATGAGAACTCAAATGTTCATACGTTTCATCGAAGAACGCAGTTTTGTTGCTGATGGCGATCAAGGTCTCGCATTTTTCGACGAATGTTCAGAGAAACTGACATACGAAGAACCCGACATCAGACTTGTAGAACCAGATGCACTTCATAAAAGTGACAGGACTATATTCGTGCTACCGCCGGAACCAACAACCGCTGAAAATCACCACATTTATACGAATTTTATATTAGATCCTGGATTATTAGCTGGGAAGGCGCGAAACCATTTACCTTCTTTATATCAGACTGTTATACCGGGATCGCCCATGGCAAGAAGAACGAAGCACGAGATAAAATCAGCACAAAAGTTGGCACGGTAAGGAATTGTAGTCTTGTAGGTAGTTTTAAACTGCCTTGTTTTTTCTAAATTACAGAAAATGTATTACTTCACCGGAGTTATGGGCTAGATGTTTGTGCGGTACCTGCCATACTTTGTACTTTATGGTTTTACCCAGTATGTTATCGTTGAATGCAGGGAAAGAAAAAGCCATTCTGCAACAAGCTTACGAATTACTCGTCCGAGCTACCCAACAGAAGTTAGCATGTGACGAAGTATGTTATAGATTGCTGATGCAGTTGTGCGGTGAACATTCAAGACCATTGTTGGCTGTTAAACTGCTTGTGACAATGAAAAAATTTGGGATTCAACCAAATGCTCTTACGTATGGGTAAGTATTTCAACAGTAATTTCTCGTCTATAAACATTGTTCAGACATATTTCTGTCCGCTTTATAATATCATATTTTATTATTGGTTTTTAAACTTATTATAATTAGAGCGTTTTTAGAGTACTTTTTTGACATTGGGTACAATTAAGCCCAATAAATTTAATGGCAGTACGTGATCTTTTTAAATTTAAGAAAAAAACATCGTTTGATGTGATAACCGATGTTTGCAATTCTCGACTATTTTAAGAAGAGATTATTAAACTGTTGCATAGCATATCAGTTATTTATCTTATTACTGAAATATTCATTAAAAAATATTTAATTACAATCCACCTCGGTATTGTAACCAAGGGTAAATCGGTAACAGTATTTTATAGTGATAAGATAAACTTGCACGACAAAATTTCGACAGTTGACTTACACCAAATTTATATGAGTAAACAATGTAAAGTAAATATGTAGAATCGATACAATTTTTATCAATGTTACATTATTATCAGCACTGCATAATTTACACACTTCTAGAATATTATAAATCATGTGCAAAATATATATGTATATATTATAAAACCAGTTGATACCAAATTTTAAGCAATTAACTTATGTTATGGTACAAATCCAGCAAGTATAATTATCTATTTTAACTCTTTAATATATCTGTTAAAATCCTTCCTGAAAAAAATTCCGCGACTTTTCTCTTGCTGCATGGGGAAGCACTCCATCTTGTAAAGATGATTTGGCCATTGGCTCTTTGTTCGGTCAATACTAAATCAATCATCATAACCAACATGTCTAAATATTTTTACTCATTAAAGCTGCCATCATTGAAAAATGGACCAATAATTTCAGTTCTCAACATTCCCAAACAAATGTTTGCAGTAAGCATTTCAACTTTTTCGTAGCTTGTGTAATGCGGCATATTTAAACGCCGCAACGTCAAGAAAAACGAGAAATCCTAATTATGAAAACGTCAGCGTTTTACAAGGCTGTGCACAAATGCCATTAGTTTCCTTAAATACAGCATAGAAACAATTTCCACAAAAGTAGTCACGAGAAAGCCCATTTTAAAGGAAAAGAAATAAGAAATACATATTTCGTGCTTTTCAAAAAATCACAGAGAAAAATGGACAATGCTTGGGTAAAACGGAAACAGCTAAACTGGTGGCATAAATATTTTCCGTAAAGTTCGCTGATGGTGTCAAGTGTTTTTCGAATTTTAAAATAATACCGATACAACGGCGCCGGTGCCGTTAATATTATAATCAGAATCAGAAAGACGACTGCGCAGATTTATACATACATACTTACATGCTTTGTTGTTTCGGCTCTACAATTGGTTTTCAAGTTCCATATAATCCTTATTGTTTTGTAAGATGGAAAACACTCGGTTTTGAGAATAATTGTACGTAATACACGTATAAATTTAGGTTTCCGAAGGCGAAGTTTTTCACATTTTAAACACGTTATAGCTGCCAGAATCAAATTTCTAAGGCGTTATCTCCAATTGCGTGATAGTGGTGAAGATTTACTTTTCATTTTCTTGGATGAGACATGGATATACCAAAACGGATCCATGCTAAAATTGTGGATCCATGATGACATAAAAAAATATATAATATAAAAAAGTAATATATTAAAAAACGTCGTTATACTCGTACTTCCACACATGTCAGAAAACATTAACAAAAAAAAAACACAAACATTTAATTTTCTAAAGAATCGTTTCGCATAAATAATCACCGTTATGAAGCAGTCAGTTCAATCACGTGATTCACTACATTGTTAAAAAGGCAACTCAAAATTAAAATGGTTCCAATAAGTAACTGTTTGAAAGATTCAATCTTCGTAGAAAGGTATGTTAGAAAACGATTAAGAAACAACTTATTAATAATAAACTGGTAAATATTAAGAACTTGTTTATTTTATGAAGAACACAAAACGAAAGTCTTACCTTGTAGTGCGTTACACAGTTTTATTTTTTTTTAATTTGCTCAAGTTATTAAGTTGGGTTCATTAAATCTGATGATTATGGTAGATAATAATAAACATGAACTGATGTATCAAAATAATAACAAAAGAAAACACTGTGCAGGGGCATGAAAATGTTATCTTTTCTGCATCATATTCATCATTTTCAAAAAAATAATGGAGTAGCTAAAACTTGAAAATTTAGAAATTGTGATAATTGATTCCAGAGCAGTAGTCTTGTAACCGATTTTTCTTTAATTAAATAACGATGAATTCTCAAGTTCTCTGTTGTACTGATATTACCCTTAGTTCATTCTACAGAGTTTCTTGCATCGTAGGTGGCTTAAAAAAAGTTTCGGTCCGTCGATTTGCTGCTTTCCTCTTTTGTTTAAGTCACCCAAGATGTATAACCAATCTTGTACTAATACATATCTAGATCAACATCTCATAAATGTTTGTCAGTTATTTGATTATTACTGTTTTTATCACAATTCGTCTTTCAGATTGTACATAATTAGGCATGCTGTACCAGACATACACCATGAACAGTACTATTTTACTATTTTTCACATCTTTGTTGCAGTTTGTATAATAGATGCGTATTAGAAGCAGAATGGCCCGCATCCTCTGCTCCTAGTTTGTTACTTTGGAACAAATTACGAAACGTAGTAATGGGAGCTGCTCATTTTCGATGGGCTGCCAGACACAGAGCAAACCGAAAACTATCAGCTTCAACTGAAGGCGGGTCTAGTTTATTAGATCCAACAGACCGCACAGCGTCTCGTTCCTCTTTAGATTCCCACGAAGCCGTCCAGACTGATAATAGTCTACTCAACAAGTTTCGTAAAATGACGAACATCATAGTAAAAAGTAGTCTTAACGGTTCCGAACAATCCGTTAAAGATGTAGTCGAACAATCAGAAGATGAAATCGTTGAAAGTAATACTGATGATGTAGTAGAGAAAAAATTAAATAGCCATTTCACACCACCTGGGAGTCCGTCAGAGTGTCGAATCTTGTCACGTTCCGAAAGTGCTGGTGATGCGAATATTATTGACAAGTTGCAACAGAATAAGAAGAACTGTTCACGAACATTGAATTTTAATGGGGAATCGAATGAGGAATCGGGAAAACAATCACCAGGGAAGTAAGTACATTTTCTATTCCAAGGAAATTAGAGTAAATTTGTGACAAAATTCGCTCAAATTTGATGGTTTGGACGAGTTTAGTGTTTCCATAATTTTACATAACGAAACGTGCGAATACATAAAAAAATCAGAATCGAAGAGACAAATTGACTTATAATTATACAGGGTGGTTTACGAGTAGTAAAGAGCCTAAATTAATTTGAAACGCAACTCAAAATACATTTTCACTACTATCGTGGATGTAATTATAATTACAATTCGAGCATTAAACATAGTAACCTTAACGCTTGTCAAAAGTTTTTTCAAAAATTTCTAATAAAAAAAACCTATCCCCCGACACCCACATTCCTGCCCTATATTCACAAAGTCCCGGGTATTGTGGCGACAATTCTCAAAAAACAAAACGTCAGAATCATTTTCAAATCACCCTGTAATTGTCTACGTTCTCTGAAGGACAGACCTCCGGGTTGTCGTCTAAAGGTATCCCCGTATCCCCTGCTCATGTGGTGCGATTTACTTAGGTGGATATGGTCGTTTCATTAAAACTAGAATACCGGAACACCCACATTGCATTCGATCGGTTCCTTCTCATCGTCAGCTATAGCAGAACATCGAGACGATATAAGTAATCGAATTCTGTTCGATAACCAAAAAACCCTAGCTAAAATTCCACATTATTATAGTACGAAAAAACCGAGAAGCTATAGAGATCCAAAAACACCCCAATAACATAGACAGAGATACTACTGGTTTCCTTTTCTCCTATAGTGGGAAAACGATCATCTCCACCAATCCGGCACGCCCTCGACCATCAGTCACCCATTCTGTATAAATTGTCCCCACATACTCATTTCCGTTCAGAAGAGTTACTTTAATTTCGATTCCTCTCTCTTCACTGAACGTTTCGTTCTCTCCCTTCACTACTTGAAGATACCCCTTACGAAGGTGGGCGAAACGTCGAAACCTTTCTTAAATTCCACACGGCCCAAACCCGAAAAAACGTTTTTATTATATCAATGACTCTGGTCCTGAAAACCTCCGAATACGTTTTGCGACGAAATTCCGGTGTGACGGACGGTCCGGAATCTGGCCGATAGCATGTGGTGGCGGCGTACTTGGGTGTCAAACCTTGGGCCGACTAGTGCCGCTGATATAAGAAACACGTCTGGCCGACCTAGGCTTATGCGGCGACCTTCACGCCACCGGGGGTGACGCCTTCGGTCAGGGTCGGGGGTCGCTCGGACGTCAGCTCCCTCTCCGGGGAGGGAGCGCCGGGGTTGCTCTCAAGCCGGAGACACGGATCTCAGGTGCTATATCTTTTGGGTTTCCAAGACTTTACAAGAGGTTGTCTAAAAGTGAATTCTTTGAAAGAATTGATAGGCGCTACTTTGAATATTCGCAGAAAGTTATTATGAACTACTTGGTTTTTGTAGGATATCACCACGCACGGTTGTGACACAAAACGATCCCTTGGGAGCTTTCGACCAGCCACCACCTCCTAAAACATGCGTGACGCCCCCTCCAGAGCCAGTTGTAGCAAATCAAAATCCACTATTAACCGACGAACCTGTTTTGTTTAAATCGACCGTGCACCGATCGGCTACATTCGAAGGTAGTCCACCTGCTCAAAGTAAGCTCCATAGATCTGAAACCGTCCCTGCAGCCACTGTTGCGTCCAGTTTGGCAAGTCTTAGTTCCAGTTTGAAGATGGGATTCAGGTAAATTCCATGTTAGCGAATGCATCACCAACACGAACACTGTAAAATGTATACATAGAATTTTTTAACAGCTCTGTTGAAAATGTCATCGGACACTTGCATGATTCATTTTCAGCGGAGAGTAACGCTTGATTTATGAATTTTTGTTTCGAAATACTGAAATGTGCATGGAGCAGCTGTCGGTGCGTCGTGCTTCATGGCTTACACTGCACGTTGTGTAGATCGTAGCTAGGTGTTTCATTTTAGCCGCTATTCACCATCACGCCTGTCTCTACGCAAAGCCGATCTCAAGGTCCCGCAACAACTAATAGAAAACGCCATCAACAACCTAAGGTAAGTGGCATTGCTGTTGATGAACAAGCGACTATACCAACATCTCAAAAATTAATTTTTTGATTTGTTATTATAGCCCCAGCAGTTTGACAGGTAAGAAACCCAACGAACTAATACAGGGTGGAATTAGTTCCATAAAGTCAGCGGCGAACACGATGGTGAAAAAATTGGACGAAATCAAGGAGGCCATGTCAACGTCTACGCATAACACCCCTGTCAAAATGGCGGCGACAGATCGGCTAGCAGCTGGAGATGCGGCTGAAGCGGGAGGCGAAGGAGAATCCACGGATGGAAGTGAAGGAGGGGAAAGGCATCGGAGAGTTTCTGCAGAGTTGGGAAGTTACAGGGGAAGCTACACAAATTTGAAGGATTCTGACGACGCACTACCTGAGAGTTTATTCCCTCTACCGAATGATGACAATAAGCAAGGTAGAATTTTATATTTGTCTTTTGTATCATACAAGTTAATTTTTTTGTAATATTAACCTAACCAAGTTATACCGCCATGGTCGAAAGAGTTCGAATAGTAGTTCCCTCGCTCTCTGAAGCGTGATCTATACAAACATTTAATAGATTTGTATTACTTATACAACTCTCAGTAAGTTAACCACAGTTGAAAGAGAATTCGTTACATAGGTCGAAAATAAATAATATTTTTTTTTACAATTTACATTATGCGTAAAGTTAAAATTATGGATCGATTACTAAACAACAAATAGAGGACCATGTTATTTCAAATATTTTGTGAATCAGTAAAATTTTGTTAATGTTGTACATATGTCTAACAGTGTTTTAGTGTCAAAAACAATAGCTTGTTACGCTGCGTTTTTAAAGGGAAATTTTAATAATACGTTTCTGACAACTCAGTAAGGAAATTATCCTGTTATTAATTGTTCTAACCAACCGCTACAAGTAATTCCAAAGCACTTTTTAATAAACTTTTTTTATAAAGTGTGATAACCAAAGACTTCAAATATATATATTTGGAGCTTTGGTGATAACCCAAACATCCCGCCCACGGCTGTAGAATATAAGGTTGGTACACTAAGGGAAATTTGGTGGAATAAAATTTGGGTGTCCTAGGCGGCTTTGGCGCGCTTTAGATCGTTTCGCCATCTGTGAATTACGATTACACGCTAACATCTTTATGAATGAAATTTTCCACTACTGCAATGGCAAATTGACAACTGACAGGCTGCCAAAACTGTCATTCTATGTACTTCTAGTTGATGTATTATGATAGAAATTACTGTTTAAATTGGTTTAACGAGATCGCCAACTCAGAGAGGAACGTACATTAATACATAACAAACCTCGGCAACCGCAGGTTTGTTCGATATTTCTAGCACTATTGTTTCATGTAAACAATCATTAAACAAGCATGTGCGATGACCAGATAAACAGATTCCTTCGAAAAACAAGTTGACAATGTACTGGTTAAGAACTTTTCGGTAATTGATTACATTAGCCACCGCGATTTTGCCGAATCCGCCCCCACAAAAACCTCATACAACACCCCTGATCACGTTCCTACCTAACCTTCAAATGTTGTACAAACATTTCTCATAACATTTGAAGAGTAGGAACGCGATCAGGGCAGGGGCGTTGTATAAGGGTTCTGCAAAAACGGTTTCAGAGAAGTCGCATAGTAGCTAGTGTAAACAATGGTCAAAGACGCTTCCAAAATATTGAACGTTTAACATAAAAATTATTATTAAATGCTTTGATTAAATGTCAAAGTTGTCATTTATGTCGGTATAATCGTGTCCTTTTGATGTGGCAAAAATTAATGCCTCTAAATACCGTAAGAGGGACCCATTTGAAAACGCGCGTCATGGCCAACTGGTACGGAAAGAAATTATTCCACCTACCGGAACGTGAATGAATGAAAGATACTCAACCTATCTATTCTACAGCCGTGATCCCGCCTTAAATTGACATGTGAAAAAAAAATGAAAGCCCGCGAAAAATTCAAAAATTTGGCCTTTGCTGCGATCGTCTAACAAAATGGAACCCTACATTGTGTTTTTTTTTGTGGCGGAATGCGTTCAGACGCAAGTGTTGGACACCAAGGTTGGAAAAGTACCGCTAACTAAAAGACAAAATATATTGGAGAACACAAAATTATTTATTCCTCCACTGACAAAAAAAATAAAACTAAAGAAAAAAACTGCGACTAAGTTGTGCCGGTTGAAGACACCTCTTAATGCTCAGCTATAAAAAAAAACTTGCCTAACTTTGAATGAAATCAAATTAAACGTTTTGAATCAATGCAAATATCACAAATTTAATAAAAACAAAGAAAAATCTGAATTAAAGTAACTGGATGCAAATACACAACTTATTACGGACGTGTGGCGGCAAATTTAAAATTATGGCAGTCAACAAGAGAACAGAATTTTAATTTAAAAAAAACTGTATGCAGCGTGTGGCTATCGAACTATCTCAATTTCATTCTGGGGCACAGCAAGATAGAGGGCGTTGTAGCACGAGCGGAGTTTGGGGCTTCTGGTTGTGGCTGTTTTTTCCCCATGACGGTAATTCTATTCTATCAGCAAGCACTGCCGCATAGCACCCCTCCATTACGAACATGCCGTACGAGCAGGCTATTGGACCAAGCCGACAGCATCACGTCATCCGGACCGCCCCTGACTTCTATTCTAGGCCTGCATCCTTTGTGCAGCTCGACAAGGAATCGCGCACTTCGTTTCCGCCACTTGTTTCTGTGTTATTTACCTCAATTCCATTTAAATGTTCACTTTCTATAACTCAGATAGTCCAGTCACTTTAGCATAAAAAAGGGATCAACCTCGGAATGAGAGATAATAAGCTGAATTTTTGTATATACCTTAATTTTGCAGTTCTAAAAGTTGTCTCAAAAGTCTCATAAAATCTCGTGTCTGCGTCGTAAGTTATTCAAGGTCAAAAGTCAAAAATAAGAGTTTTTCGCGATTATCTGGGTTTCTATTGCTCCAATGATGTAATGTCTATTATAATAATTGTAGAGCATACAATTTTGGGCAAGTTTTATTTGAAACATTTTTTGATGCGCTTAATCGTTTTTGAGATAGAGGGCGGTGACAGCGCAGCGCTCATCCATACGTACTGTAATGCAAGATCAAAAAAAAATCGTAAGAAATATACAGCTGCTGAATAAGGATAAAATTAAAATATATTAAGTCGTTTCACTTCCTTAAAATTTACTTTGAATAAATTAATATAACTTTAAAATATATAATACTATAACAAGTATAATATATTATCTAATATATCTACTAAACTTACACATTTTAAAGATAAAGTACTTAATTATTTTTCTCTTTAAAATCTACTTTCAATAAATTAAGATACACAATAAGTATTTCATATAAAGAGTTTTTAATTACACAAAGTAGGTAAGTATTATTAAATGAATATATTGAAAATATGTAAAATGTTATTAAATACAATGTATTAACTGATAAATAATACAAATTATTCAAAATTCAAGCTATTCACAGATATTCACGGTTGATTTTGCATTACAGTACGTATGGATGAACGCTGCGCTCTCACCGCCCTCTATCTCAACAACGATTAAGCGCATCAAAAAATGTTTCAAATAAAACTTGTCCAAAATTGTATGCTCTACAATTACTATCATAGACATTAACATCATTGGAGCAATAAAAACCGAGATAATCGCGAAAAACTCTTATTTTTGACTTTTGACCTTGAGTAACTTACGACGCAGACACGAGATTTTATGAGACTTTTGAGACAACTTTTAGAACGCCAAAATGAAGGTATATACGAAAATTCAGCTTATTATCTCTCATTCCGAGGTTGATCGCTAATTTGACTGGACTAAAGTGTTAAAGTTTCAAAAGAACAATAAACAACATTTAAATTCGCCATACACTCTTGCAAACATTTAAACAGCAAAGAATGCTTATCTGAGATTAAGATTGGACATAAGATAATTTATATGATAGAAACATTAATTAATATTTACATGAAAAAAAGACTAGCAAAAAATGTGTAAAACAAAAAACAATCTGGTGTGAAATAAAACTTACTTGTGCAAATAAAAAGTTACGTGAGGTTAGTAACTGCAGACCATGAAAATTTACGTTCATTTTAAATTATACAACAAAGAAAATTACAGAAGTTAAAATTGTGAGATTGAGAAAAATTGGAAAGCTAACAGAATTACATGAGTTTAATATTTGCCATACTTTATCAACGATTCAAACAAAGAATTTACATGAAGTTAAATTATGCCACACTTTATCAACGGTTCAAACAGATAATTTACGTGATGTGAAATTACGCCACTATCCAAGGGATTAGTTACTTAAAACAATTAGCTTTGATAGTTTATATCGTGGACTGTCCACAGCTTATCCCAAACAAAACACATGATAAATAAACACAAAATGCATCCTGCGTTGCGAGAAATATGCGTCTCGGTGATATAATTTTCCACGTTGCGAGAAAAATGTTTAATCCCCCCGTACCTCAGTCCACTATGGGTTCTACCACACTTTCCACAGTCTTTTTCCCAGAGTGAGACAACCTTAGGTTGATTTAGCGGCCGCAAATGAACTGCATATTAGCAATCTTGTGTGAGGAATTAAGAAAAATTATAATGTAACACTTGCATATAAGCATCCAGAAACCTTATTCATAAAACTAGATAAACGAAGGATGAGTCCTAACTAAATGAATTTCATGAAATCTCCTAGCAAGTGCTGTATCTAAACAATATCAGGACCGTTAAATTGTGTTAGAACCAGTTAACGGTTAAAATCCAACATGAACCGTGAATTTACAAACAATAGATCAAATTTACACCACGTGTTCGCGTCAGTCGAGAATTCGCCTATTTCCGCTTGGAAAAACCGCAAGAATTATATAGCTACGCTTGTTGGGGAAACTGGCATCGCAATCGGTTCGATTAATTGTCGTTAAACAAAGGCTTCCCCCCTTTTATTAACTACCAAAACAACTAAACTTAACCTAGCTAACTCACCACGTGATTTCACTCACAACAAACAAACCAAAAGTGACGCCTCGCACCCCCTAGCAACAAAATCAACTTCCCAAAAAGGACTAAACTTGCACATGGTTGTTTATGTTTAACGATTTTCATGATTGAACTTTTTTTCAGTGCGAAGTTTTAATTCAAATCTGGTCATCACAAAAGCTATAATATAAATTTCAAACGAGCTGTAGATAGACAAGAGTGATTCGTAATATATATGAACAACTTGAGATACGTTTTCCTGACATCAAAATAACAAGAAAATTCAGATTAACATGCCCCCCAAAAATACATATGCATACTTCCCATTCAAAAATGCCGGGGGTGTTTCAAACTGTCAATCAATCAATCAACAGAATTCCGTAATTTGACAACATTTTCAGTGGGTATTACAGCGAACCCCCTCGGTTTCCATTATTGTTGTGTTTTTTTTTCTGGATTTACCTTAAATGTCGAGTTTGTACAACATCCATAGAAAATGTTGACGAATTGCGGAATCTATTGTCGCATATAAAATATTTGGAAACACCCTGTATTTTGAAGGCAGGCGCTAGTTAATGCAACGAATGGTAGAAGCATCTATTACAGCTGATGTTGGTCATTTTCAATAAATACACTGCCAGACAAAAAAACCCGGACACTTGAATTTTTTGTGATTACCTGCAACTAGTCAAACTTTTGTAAAAAATATTCCAAAAACCAAAACATTAATGTATTCATTAACAGATAACATAACTTTATTCTAAAACATGTGGAAACAGAAAAAAGTTATAACACTAAACCGTCGTACTAAACATTAGCGTAAAGTTACAAATATTCAAGTGTCCGGGTTTTTTTGTCGGGCAGTGTATTATGTTATTTTTCGAATTTACTCTATAAATTCTTGTTCTTAGTTATATTATTTTTACTTCATTCCACATCTTTCTCTGCTTCTTTGATCGTCAATCTTTTTCTATAACTGTGCCGTACTAAATTTAACTACCCCTTGAATCTAAAAGCAGTGGGGTTTACAGAATTTCTATATCTCTATTCGTTCTCAAGATATTAGGCCGCGGAGTTTTAGCTGAGACACCCTATATAAAACTTAACAGTCAACAAAAATAAAATTGTCTTTTAATTTTAAGCAGTCTTTCTCATTGCGTGTTGTCAGTAGCGATGATAAGAATAACTTCCTTGTCCAGCAAGCAGTTATTAAATTAGACACAGATCGATTTATACAAATCCTCTACAAGTCGAAACTCTTTAATAATAGTCCAGTTTTAATGTTTTATGTTTTCAGACAGTGAACTAGAAATCACCATAAGCTCATGCTCCCAGTGTCACAACTGTTCATGTCTCCTCTACGACGAAGACATAATGGCCAACTGGTTCGCTGAAGATTCCAATCTCAACACCATATGTCAGTCCTGCAATAAGCCTACAGTACCACTCCTCACAATGATGATAACTGGAAAAAACATACCACCATGTGATCCGTTTAGTGTACCTTATCTCAATCCATTAGTACTCCGAAAAGAACTAGAAAACATATTAACACAAGAAGGCGATCTTAGTTTAGCTGAGGCTAAATTTGTTGATGAACATCCGATAATCTACTGGAACTTAATGTGGGCTTTTGAAAGGATCAACGTCCAGACGCATTTGCCTAATTTGTATTTGAAAAGTAGAACTGAAGGAGAGACTGGTATTGAGAAAAAAGACAGGAATGAGACTAATGAATTTGTTGGAGAAGATAATGGAAGTATTATGCAACCAGTCGAAGAAGGAACAGATCCTTTAACGCAGGAGTTGGCAGCTTTAGGTAAGACCGTATAATTTACAAAAATTCGTTTCACGATGGGTACTGTCGTGAAATGAATTGTAAAGTGGCAACGTATTCGTAACTTTTTATTCTGTTAGCTAACGGACGAGATGATGGCCGTAAGTTATTTTTTTCTATTAAAAAAAAAATGTTTATCTAGTTCAGTCTGTATATTTGTGTTTCTTTCAGAGCAATTAGCGGCACAGGTCTGTGTCAAGTGTTTATGGGATGAGCCAAGGTTGTACATAGAGCGTCCTCCAATGTACATACTGTGGAAAGTGAAAGACGCTTCTCAACTCAGTTCTAGTTACAAAAATAATGTCTCAAAGTCGTAAGTTTGATATTTAGGACGACTATTTTTATCTACAAAGGGTTCGTTTTAGATTTATGCAAAAGGTAATTAATAGCATTCGGGTGGACGATTTGGCTGAGCCTTTGAAAAGTTTAGCGGCCGAAAGGGAGTCCCATCAGAGATCGCGTGACGGAAAAGATAAAAATATCTCCATCTACCGAGATATTCTGTTTCTGGCGTGTAAAGCATTGGGAAGAAGTCACATTGACCTGAATGCTTTTGATAAGCAGTATAGTATGGCATATTATCGTGCAACTGAAAGGAATAATAGACAATATGGACCCCAAGATAAACCTCTCAGTATGGTTGCGTTGTATTGCCGTCAATACTTCCGCCCACTATCTTTGCCTTGATCAGTTTAAGTTGTGTTCTTCATTTTATTATTACCTAATAAGGTGCACTGCTATATTTTAATTGTATGTACATTAACTTATGTTAGGTTTTTTCTGGGACTTTATATTTAAGGTCAATAGTTTTCAATAAAGTTGTTGAATAAAGTAAGTTTTGTAAATATTTAACATTTTATTAATAAGAGAATTTTAGTAGACATATCTATAAACTAAATTGCTACATATATTTTTATTATTTTGTTTTTCTTGTTTTTGTATAATATATGAAGGCAAATTAAAACTAGATTAGTAGAACATTAAGAAAATCTCATATAGAAAACTTGGGAATAACATGTCTGACCATGATGTTGTCAAGACCAAGATTAAGCTAAAACTTGGGTATATTTTATTCAACGATTGATCATTGCTTGAAGTTAACTATATTGTACGCCAGAATACGAGGAATAAATAAAGATAATCTAATAAGGACGTCAGGAGCTACATGAGCAGTTGATTTATTCTTCGTAATCCAGAAATGATACTGGGTTTCACAATACTCTCATTAAAGAGGATAACTACATAATATCAACGCAAGATGAAGAGAAGCTTCTTCTCTTCGAGGCACCTATACATACACATTTGTGCGCAAAATATACAGATATGCTATACCTGAGATATTACAGAATAAAACTCTTCCAAACAAATTAAGAATTCCATAATATCATCTTTCTTCTTCCACCATGAATACCTTAAAAATATAATTGCCAAAATTTGCGCAACTCTGTACAAATTCTTTGTCCAAACTAAATAAAATCTATCTCATTAATAAAATATACATCACAAATATTCCTATATTTAGAATATTATATTAATTTTAATATCTGGAGACGTACAAGTAAAAAAATGTGTATTTATCCTCTTTAAAAAAAAAACAGGTAAAGACAAAATGATTAAAACTGAAATTTGTGCAGACAAAACATTTCAGAAGCATCATTACTGAATATATAATATCTATAAAGTATTTACAGCAAATTTAAGAACCTGCTCTGAAATCGAGAAGTAAGAATATACTGAGCAGGAAAGACACACTTTTTTTGTAATAATAACTAAAAGCAAAACGTGGTACAAAAAAACTTCCGTAAGCTTCCTTTTAATTACACATTTTCGCACTTACTAACTGGAATTATACTGGAACACTCACACGAATTGTCAAAATATATGATGATATAACAATCGGGGGGAGGTTGAGGCATCGCTCCCCCTATATTATTATTTTTTTATACACTATCACACTTCACAGAGGAGAAAAACGCGAAGCAAAACATTTTCCCTTGGATTTTCTTTTAAATCATCAATTAGATGAGTCTGTTATTCTTAAAGGATGATGCACTTCAACTTAAATGGTACTCGACCGTGGCCACCGATGTACTTATGCGAACGTTTACCGCGGCTTGTTTTGTCTTTACGAATTTCCCTAACTAATGTGTAAAAGGCGTCGTCTACACCCATTCTCGTCTTCGCCGATGTCTCCACGAAGGGTATGTCATATTGCCTTGCCACCTAAAACAATCAGAAACAATTATTAAACCCATCTCGTCATCTCTCAACTGAATCATTTCATATTTTACAAAGATAATTTTAAAAATTCGCAAAGTGATAATAACGGATACTCTAAGAACTCATAACTTTTTTTCTGCTGTGTTGAAAACATAAAAACCTGAAAACTTAATTTGAAAATACATATATTTTTACAACTAGCAACTAAACTACAAAATTTAAAAAAGGAGATTTAGTATTTCTCTACTCAACATGTAGGTAGTCGTCAAAATAATTCATAATTTTCATTCTCTAGCGAATTGTTTGGGATTTTACGATTTTTAAACACAATTAAAGTTGATTCTCCTCTTACGGAAAAAATTAGGTGGAAATTCGTCCCCTGTGAAAATTTAAAGTTATGCGTATTCTATTTCTATTCGAGGAAATAAGATGACAAAGGTAATTTTTCTTTTTTCGTTGTTTGCTACACCATATTTTTGAATAACTTCGAAAAAAAAATTGTAAAATCTGCGTTTCTTCAATCATACCACTGATTAGACTTCAATAATAATACTGAAAAAATTACGACGAATACATACTGACAATAAAAATTAAAAATATTCGAGATTGTAAGTCATGTAGAAAATTTTTTTCGTTGTTAGAGAAAGTCCTAGAGATTTGATAAAACCAAAGTGCTACTTTGCTCCTCTACTAAGAAAAAAGTTGGTAAGTACTGTGATGTTTCATAACTACATTCGATAAAGGTAGAGTTCAAAAATAAATCACAAAATGTATACAATTTTGATTTTTTTTTTTCAAAAATCTGGATGCCTCGGGTAAAAACTCAACACGAATTCATAAACTGCAGGTGTTTTATATTATTTTATTTAATATAATTTAAAACCCATTTACTATGTACAATTTTGAGATGACGTCATCACACTGTTGGTGGGGATGACTAGACAAGTTTATTAGCGTTTTACCATTTATATCATATTCATAATACACATATAAAATTTGAGAACAATTGGTCCGGTAGTTTCCGAGATTTTCTATCTAACAAAAATCGACCCAAACGTCGGACAAACTGACAGACGAAAACGGGAGACCTATTTTTTCGTACTTATGAGTCATACATCGAGAAAATATGAAAGAAACCAGTCTCCCCATACAATTACAATACTTGGTCAACTTACGCTCGGGAAGTAAAAAAATTACCTCTACATTTTTTAGGTTATTTGATTATTCCAGATTTTCAACAGGTGGCAAACTCCATTTGCACAAATACGAAAAACCTAACTAATCTTTCAGACGTGGTAAATTCTTATGGGCGAATGAGAAAGAGAAACCTAACTGATGTGTCACACAATGTATTAAAAAAAATTGGTCAACGATTATTTCGACAGAACTTTCCTTTCCTTACCAAGTTTTTTTGAAAAAGTATAAAATTTGATTTTGCTAATTTAAATTTTTATGAAAACCCCTAGTTAAAATAAAAATATATATGTAAATGTGCGTGCTACGGGTATGTTTCAAATAAGTTTATCCTTTACAAAAATTTTTGATGACGTCATAAACATTTTTGCAAGGACATGGATATCAATGTGGATAGGTGAGTGTAATACTAATCATAACAGTATTGTATTCCCAAATTTTCGGGAAAATGGAGAGACCCGTTCCTGGTTTAATCAATAAAATTAATTAATTAATTTTTTTGAGTCACTCGGGATAAGTAATTCTAAAACTATAAATTCAATGATAAATCATAAGTATGTATAGACTCATCATATTTTGCCTCATTTTGGATACGATTTATTCGGCAAAATTTTGAGATGAGGTCAACAATTTTTTTGGAGGGGATAAACAGATACATTTTGATTACAAATTTACCATGCTTACGATAACTTTAAAACATCTACAAGATTTCAAAGCATTCGGTTTTACAGTTCCTGATTTATTCAATAAAATAAATTAACTGATTCATTAATTATTGTTTTCACTCACCCTGTGTAAGCAGTTCTAAAACTATATAGAATGATAAATCACAAGTATAGATTTATCAGATTTTGCACATGTTAGGTAGGATTTTTTCCAAAAATCAAGATGTCTAGGATAAAAACTCAACACGAATTCATACATCACAAGTTAAAAAAAACATATTATTGTAAATTTTGGAGGTGACGTCATGCCATTAGTGGCGAGGATGATTAGCCAAAGTTTGGTGAGCGTTTTACTACCTACATTCCTGGTATACATACAAAATTTGACAACAATCGGTCCAGTAGTTTCAGAGATTATCTGTCTAATAAAAATCCGGATAGACAGCTGACAGACAGACGCACGGAAACGGGAGACCTATATCTTCGTACTCTAGGGTACTGAAAGGTCGAGAAAACAGAAAAGAAAGGGTCGGCCGATGGACGAAGAAAGTATTGCTCCTTGGCTTGAAAGTAAAAATGGTCTAAAGTTATTTATTAGACAGATCTTTCTTTGCCCTCTGAAATATTGACTAACAAATACAATTTTTCGAAAAATTGAAACTTAAATTTTGCGAATATATTTTTTTATGATAACCCCTATAACTTAAAATAAAGATATGTGTGGACTCTTAAAGTACAAGTGTATGTTTCAAGTGAGTTTTCCAATAATCAAATTTTTGCGATGACGTCATCAACATTTTATCAAAAATCCATATACAGGTCGCTAGAATGTATGGAAACGGTTAATTGTACAAATCAACTGAAATTAGGTATAAAGGTACAAGAAGTTATGCTGTACTTATTCGCCAAAAAGAAATTTTTTTGCTTCATTTGTTTTCGAGATGCAAGGCCAACTTGATTTTTTTTTAATGGCACTAATTTATTTTGCCATTTCAACCAGAAATAAAAGAAAATATGATTGTGCTACACCAATGAATTCAGAAAAAAAAACCTCTATTCAAAAATGCATTAATTATATGGTAGTTTTCGGCCAATTTAAATGTAATCAAGTTGGCCTTGCACCTCGAAAATAAATAAAGAAAAAAATTTTTTGACGAATAATTAGAGCACAACTTCTTATATGTACCTAATTTCAGGTGATTTGTGCAATTGGTTGTCAAGATACCGTTTTCATACAATCTAGCGACCTTGCATGTACATGTGTAAATGGGTGAGTTGTTTTTGATTTGATCAATAAAATACACTGGCTCATTATTTTTTTTTGAGTCATCCTGTATAAGTAATGCTAAAAAAATATGAATCCATTGATAAATCACAAGTTGTATAAATTCATATTTTGCATATTTTAGGTGGGATTCATTCAGCAAAATTTTGATTGAAGATCTACCATGCTTACGACAGCGTTAAAACGTTTGCAAGATTTCAGAGCATTGGTTTTGCAGTTTCAAAGTTAAATTACAAAATTTTGATCTGTTTTTTTCAAAAATCTGGATGTCTAGGATAAAAACTCACCATAGATTCAAAAACTACACTTGTAGGAATACGTTATTTTATAAAATTTTAAACCCATTATCACAAAATTTTGTAATGAAAGCATTCACTTTGCATCATACACACAATATGCTTTAAAATTGCATACATAACTTTATTTTAATTTATAAGGGTTTTCATACAAAAAATAATATTCGTAAAATTAAATCTTATAATTTTTTGAAAAAGCTGGATGCTGTACTTCAGGGACGAGAGAAGTTCTGTATAAATAATCTTAGATCAATTTTTTTAACATCTGGGGATTTTCATACATTCTTTTATAGATGAAGTTTTTTTCAGCAATTCAACCAATATGCAAGTGCGGCAAAAATTCAGACGGTTGTTCCTTGAAATATATAAAGATTTTTTGTCTTGGAATGACTTTCAGAAAGACGCTTGTTTCGAAAATACGGAGCGATAAAAGTAAATTAAAACTACAGTGTACTGCACTTTACCTAGAGAGTACAAGAAATATCTGTTTCCATTATAACTTCTCATCGTTTCCATAGCGACTTGACATTCTCCGGTGGAAAATGAAGAAGATTTGGGAAATCGTATAATTGAGAGATGTAATGAAATAAGAAACAACCCTAGTATTTTTTAAAAAATTCGGCAGTCAATGAGGAGAAGATTGGAGGCATGCTTCCTAGCTGATTGTAATGGTACCGTATGATCAAACATTATGCTGTGATGAGCGCACGTAGGGAATGATAGATAGAGAGCTAATATTTATTGGAAAGAAACAGGAAAATTTTTGTATTATATTGTATGAATTAATAATGTATTGTTTTTTTTTAACTTTTGTCACCCTGTACTTTGAAACAAAGCGCGTTTCCGAAAATCATCAGAGGACAAAAAAAAATAAAAATAACATAAGGAATAACTCCCTGAATTTTTGCCGCGCATGTTTGGTAAAAAGCCTGTATGTCGTTATCACAGAACCATACAAAATTGATTAAAATCAGACATCTCAACACCAAAGTGAAAAAAAAAACACATACAACTGAATTAACTTCATCACCGGAACGTCGAATATCTTAATACATCGATCAAAAGTTATAATTCAAAAACAGCATATTTGCAAATGAACGAAGTTTACGTGCAGTTCATTCTTATTTTACCTGGCATGTATTAGCAAATATTTTATAAGTTAAAATTTACTAAAATCGGTTTTTAATGATTCACAAATACTTAATATTTAAAAGCAGGCGAAGAGTTCTCAATTATATCAGGTCAGTTTTTAGAATAATGTACTCACATAAAAAATACAAATTATACGATATAACAAAATAATTAGGAAATACGACCGGACTAAAACTAGTTACTCCAATGCATAACTCAGTAGTCAACTCTTAGTGATTTTATAACCTTGAAATGAAAATAGTATCATACTTAATAAATGGGCACAATTAATAATTAACAGGAAATAATAACTACATCACAATGTAAGACTGAGCTAGTTTTATTCTCATTTAAAATAGTAAGACTCTGTTTAAAAATCAACTCAAAACAAAGAAAAATATTTTAACAGCTGAAGCTGGCTGTTATGTGGAACTAAAATTGTGTAAATAGTATCAATTCACTTATGTAAAAACTTAAAATAATGGGAAGTTGAAACTGAATCAATTGCATTTACTATGACTAATTAGTGTAAATGCTCATTACAACTATAAATATGGTCAAATGAAATTAGACTCTGATTAAATAAATAACTCTGCTTAGATAATAATAAAATTTTAAAGAAATATTTACTTTATTTTCTTTTCTGTGATATAAACATATTAGTGAGTCATCACCTTCAATCATTTGTTTTTACATTCCTCCTTCACTAACACTAAACTGATGTAATTTAAATCGACTCTTTAAAAATAAGACAAAACCTACTCAATCTGAAAAACAAACGCGAAAATTACTCACTGTAGCCATAAATAAAGCGTTGCCATACCCAAATTTTAATTAAACACAACACCACATCTGGAAGTGGCTCCAAAATAAAAATTTGTAAGTTGATTGATTTAGCATAGTTTTAAGCTATTTACACAGAAAATTACCTCTCTAGCTTGGTTCATATCCACAGCCCATGAAGACAAATCGCATTTGTTTCCTACTAAGACCATGGGTACTTCCTCCGCGTCCTTAACCCTTTTTATTTGTTCCCTGTATGTGCCAATATCTTCAAAACTTTTGGCCGAATTGACAGCAAAAACCAAGAGGAAACCTTCACCTGTCCTCATGTACTGGTCTCTCATGGCACTGTATTCTTCTTGGCCCGCCGTGTCTAAAATATCTAGTAAACAAGTCTCTCCATCAATGACCACTTGTTTTCGATAGGAGTCTTCGATAGTAGGGTCATATTCGTCCACAAAGTGGTTTTGAATTAATTGTATGGTCAAAGCTGATTTGCCGACACCACCCGCTCCAACTACTACTAATTTGTATTCAGTCATTTTATTTAGAAAATACCAAAACAGCTAGCCAAATAAAAATATGAAGAAGCACACTATTTTTATTTTTTTTTATTATTATTATTATTTTGTATTAGGTGGAGTTCTTCTTATTCGTTATCCCAGCATAATAAAATCAACACAGCACACATGTAAACTGAAGCAATTAAGAACATTCGTATGCCCAGTAAATTACTCTAATTAATTGTAATCAAGAACGAAAGAGTAACAAAAGTTATCAAGACCGTCAAATGCACTACTAAACAATGCTGCCAACGTTTCTTTCTAGTTTTTATAAAACCCACCCATGGAGGTTCACCATCAACATAACCGAAGACGATAGCCGATGAAAAAGCAATTGAATTTATTTTAGATACTGTACGAAACGATATTAACACTTTTTAATTTTTTTCTTCTTAAATACAACTTGTCGTATGTTTTTGTATTTTTAGAATGCAATTGATTCAACTAATTTGAAAACTGTAGCAATAGATCGTTCTCTAATTACTTTTCGTCAATAGATATGATCTAGGGGAAATATCCAGTACCAACAAAATTAGCCACAATATAGAAAACCCCAAATCCAGAACCAATATGTCATCAGATGACAAAGATAAAAACTATTTCTAAAGAAGTCATTTTTATGTTGTTTTCAACGCAAGTATTCAATATCGCGTCACAAAATCTGACTTGAAGACTTGATAAACTTGAAAAAAACATGGAATTCCCGTCAAATTAATAAAGCAACGTCGTCAAATCAGAGTCCTGATTATCAAATTAAGGTTAAGGTGAGTAATCTTTAAAAAACACACTTGTCATGTAAACGTGACAAAAAGAAGTGATTCATGTTTAATAGTTGTCTGTAATTTTGACAGTAACTTGAAACAATGGCTAACAAGCAAGTTCAAGAAACTTCAGGAGGTTATATGGATAACGTTCGAGTGAAGATATCAGAAAAATACAAACCACCACCAAAAATTGGATTACCAATGTCCTATGCACAAAGGTTGACATTGAACAAACAAATCCAAGATACAATTCCCAATTACGAATTTGTACTCGAGAAGACTGTAGTAGAAAAAATGAAAGAATGGAGGAATGCTAGATCTGTGATGTTTCAGCAACTAAGTGTAAGGTTGGAGAAAGCCAAGGTTGAAGAAAAGAAAAAACGAGAGGAAAAAATCGAGTATCAACAAGGAGAGAAAGAAGAAGAAAGTTCGCCAACAAATAACCTTTATTTAGGACCTAGTCAATCGTATCAACAAAAACAACCCATTCTAGTGCCCACTCAAGCAACGCCTAATTTGTTTTCAAGCATTCTTACTCCAATTCCTTTAAAAGATCAGATTTTCGCTCAAAATATTGAATATAAGTCACCAGAAAAGAGCCCGTTTAATATCTCTGATTTTGAAGCTGATACATCAAGTCCTTTTGATAATATGGAACTAAAATCAATAAATGATTTAGAAGAGTTAGCACAGGTTTTAAAAGGAGACCAGGATCCAAAACTGCCATTAAATTACAGTACATCCCAGAGTAGTACAAGTTTATCATATCCAGCAGTTGGACCCAGTAATTATTCATATACCATTCCAAACACCACAAGTTATATGCAGCCAGTGTCATCACTATATACAAACACTAATGGATATTATTATCCTCCAGAAACGATAGCAAAAAGTACAGCTTATAATTCGCCATACCCATACTCGAATCAAATTGAAAACAGAAATTATAGCTGTTCGCCAGGGCAAGAGTCGAAGATGTCCACCTATAAAAATATACCAGATATAATGAAAACTTTGCAGAATGAACTCAACAATACGCATCTAGACAATACACGAAGCATTGTGGAACCTCGTCAAAGTAAGGACGCTGACGTTTTCCCAAAAGTTAAAACAAAAAGTGAAGATTTGTGTGATGAATTTAATTCATTACCAAAAAATATGCAAGATATGTCCAAAGCAATTAGTTCCATGGGCTTTCCCCTGTCAAGGGTGGCGAGGGTATGCAAAATTGTAGGAAATGATCAAAAAAAGGTAAGGTACTTATAGACAATAAAACATGTGTCCTAATAGTTTTTTAGGTGGTTGAACACTTGCTAGCCATGTCAGATTTACTGGATTTAGGATTTTCTGAAAGTAGAGTGTCAACAGCACTCCTTCAGTGCGATAATGATAGAGATAAAGCTTTGGACATTCTTATTTCGTAGCACCTTATTCATGTGGCTGTGCTGATGTTATTTGTATTATAATCAATTTGTAATTTATAATTATTTATTTGTAAATATTAATTTGAAATGAACTCACTTTGTGAGTAGATATGCAGATTCTGCAATAAACCATATATCATGTAATGTCGTTAGGCAATTTTTTCAGTATTTTTCATACTCGCAGCAATGTTAAGTGCATTTTTCCTGTATTGCGGTGATGATGTACGTACTTTCAGTTACAATTAGCTTTTTATAAGATTAATGTTATCAGAAAAATACTCAAATAAAGACATCCTTGCTATATAATTACGTTTATTTAAACTTGTACACCTGTTTTCATAAAAAAAATATAATGTTATTAATATTCATTGTATTCGCTGTCACCCACTTCACGAAGTTAAACCTTAAAGATTAAAAATCGTGTATTCTAAAAAAAGATTAAACACAATTTTATGTACTGAAAGTCAAGGCAAAATAGTATGTCATAGCGATGATTATTTTGAAGATAATACATAAGTACAACAAACACTTTAAAATTTTGAATTAACCCAAAAGATGAATTTTATCTTGATTTATATATTATTAGATTACTCTAATTTATTTTAAAACGACTAAAGTTTAACCATTTTAAGACATTTCCTAGTACGACGCCTATGGATTTAAATAAAGGCCACCTTCGGGAACGAGGATTATACCGCCAAGTGAGTCAACAGAGTCCAGTCAATTTGCGCCGGAATTATTTTGTACATAATCGCTGTGCAGTTAGTCGTATAAATTCGAGTTAGTAAGAAATAAATTGTTGAGTTTTACCCACGCCAATTTTAATCACCCGTTCAACGTAATCCTCGTGTCAGAAGTGGGCTTTGAGATTAATAACTGGTTTTACGACGACTTCCGGGCAGACTGGACAAGAATTCTGAAGAATTTATGCCTGTCGAGACGAGAGCTCAAGCTGCGAAAATGAAGGAAAAGATCATGGCTACGCTTGCAAAAAGGGGCTAGAAAATGGAAGCAAGAAATAAAGAAAGTAAAGAAGAAATGGGCACAAGAATGGAAAAAATGGACGAGAAAATAGAAGCAAGAAATAAAGAAATGGACGAAAAAATAAAGAAATAAAAGAAGAAATGGGCGCAAGAATGGAGAAAATGAATGAAAAGATGGACGCTAGGAATGAGAAAATGAATGCAACAATAGAAGAGATGAATGGAAAAATGGATGCAAGAATGGAAAAGATGGACGAAAAAATAGATAAGCACATAAGGAAGTGGAAGCAAACAAGATAATGACAAAATTATTGATTCGTTTTCAAAGCAACCAACAAATTGACGAGCTACTTGAAAAATTATCGAAAATTACTGCTGTAATTTTTATCCTGTTGCTTTATTAGTGGTCGAAATCTACAATGAAATAAATAATCGCTGTAATTTAATCGTTATTGGATAAAAATAAAATATTTCAGTTTTTCGATTGACTTAAATTTTTAGCAGGAAATAGTCACTAGAAATAATTTATATTGCAAAACAACATTTGCCGGGTCAGCTAGTTACTTAATATAAATCTTTAATTCTTGCCTGATACCGCTGGTTTGTGCGACTTTCCAATACGTTAACATTTTTGATGTAAAAACCAACAATGAAATGACGCAATCTCCGAATTTTACAATAGTAGATGTAATTTAATTTTTATATCCTCCGTTTATGGTTTATGAATCCGTGTTGTGTTTTTACCTTAGATGTCAAGATTTTTGGAAAAAAATCAACATTTTCCAATTTATTGGAATCATGTTAAATCGTTGGTCAAGATTTATCCGTTGTTGCTCTCGAGGAGTTGATGTTATCTTACGATTTTGTCGAATAAATGGTATTTAAATGTTAAAAAGTAGCATAGTCCTGAACTTGTGGTTTATAAATACATTATTGAGATTTTTCGGCTTTTCGATTTCTCGATTTTTCAACTTTAGATGTTTCAATTTTTCAATATTTCAATTTTGGACATTTAAAATTTTTCCATTCTTCAAATTTTCGATTTCTCCTTGTTTGTATTTTTCGATTTCTAAATATTTCAATTTTTCAAATTTTGACGTTACTAAATTTTCAGTTTTCCGATTTCTGAAGTAATCTTTTTTTTATTTTCCCATTTCTTCCCAATGTTTCCATTTTTCACTTCTTCAATTAAGACAATTTTCTTATTTTTCAGGCTTTCGATTTTTCAATTTTTCGATTTTTAAGCTTACGATTTTTCGACTTCAGAATTTCCCGATTTTCAGTTTTCCGTTTTTTAAACTTTAGATTTTTCAATTTTTCGACTGTTTTATATTTCGATTTCTCAATTTTTCAACTTTTCAATATTTCAGTTTTTCAATTTTCGGGATTTTTTAAATTTTCGATTTTCCAATTTTTCGATATTTCGATTTTTCAATTATCCGATTGTTCAATTTCTCGATTTTTAAATTTTAGATCTTCCAATTTTTATTTGTTTGATTTTTTCATGTTTGGATTATTTATTATTGCTAAAAGTAAAAGTAAAAATGACTACCAAAATTGTGACTAAAAATATACTTCCCGCAGAAATTCTGGACGCTTTGGCCTGAGCGCGCTCCGGTCCGTTGATCAAACAAGTTCTCAGGCATATTCTCAGGCGATAATGTATCTAAAACGAAGCAGTTGGAATACCTGATATGTCATAGCGCAAATAGTATTTCTCGAAAAACTTTCAAACGTTGATGTGTTTTTAATCGAACAACACACAATTGGCCAACTCAATAATCCAGAATGGTGTGCAGAAAAATCCTTAAGACTAACCGCACGTTATTTTGGTAAAATTTGCAAAATGAGAGGACAACTAACACGGCTAATCCTACTGTGAAAAACATTTTATATCCTTGCAAATCTAGTTCAGCATGTACTCTCCCAAAATCTTTGTAACACGGCATAGAAAATGAAGCAAGGGCAGGTAAATAAGTGGTTAGTGAAGTGATGAGAATCTAAATCTTGTCAGTTTTATGTACCTATTGATTCATATATGTATAAAATGACAAATTAATAAAAAATATTCGAATAATTTTTTGAAAGAAAATATTTTAGTAGAATGTATAAAATTATAAAAATTTGTATACTTTTAAATCAAATTATGTCAGCAATGAAAGAAGTCGACTCGTAAAAGATGCTCATAAGCTAAGAGTATTTATGAGTTTTATGACCTGAACTGATTACCTGTAAGGTTCGGACAGCAGTATAGATATCAATCAGTAGGGACAACTCGCTATTTTTGCTGACCCGTTTTCATGGGTGGTCGTTTGTCTTGTGACCGTATGAGGGCGCGCAACGCAAGGTACTTCTCTTTCTTACACATTGGGACATTGAACTGCGATACTTTGGTTATCTAGTGACTTTAGTGTGAAATATTTGAAATTTGGCAGTTTAGTTGCATTGATTTTGATGATTTAAGGCTGATCTTCAGGTGTAATTATTGCAGTTAAGTGTAATTTTCACAGAGACATTTTAAAAAGCGTTGTTCACGTTTTCATAGGACCATTGTTTGCTGTTTAATTTTTTTTGTAAAAAAATTAAATGTACATATATTAGCGTTTTCTAATAACGTTGAATTTTACAACCATTTACAACCATCATGAAAAAGAAATTAATGAAACGTAAAATCGTAATCAGAGAAGCCGGCCACATCTAAATTTCAACACGGCATCTCTGTTATAGGGCGCTTAATTAATTATTTATTATAATAGACTGTGTGGTTTCTAAGATCAACTAGTTACAAAATGTTATTGTTATTACACTATTTTTAATTCTTTTCCAAAAATTCATTTGCGCAAAGTGTAGTAAATTATGTTCACGAATCAATTTTAAAATGAAGCGTTTGTGACCCTTTTTAAATTGGGTGGCGACATCTAGAAATATTTGGGGCAACGACCACCGATGACGGCTCAGAAAGATCAAAGGCGCCGACACGAGTTGTCCCTTCTGATTGACTATACTGTGGTCGGACGGCAAGGTTCCCTGCTGTGTAAAACTCAACCATTTATCGAAATGGATCCTTCGTAAATAAGGTTGCCTACTTTCACTTTATTTTCATTTTTCAATTTTTTTTTAAAGGCAAATATTTTGATAAATATAAACTTTAAATAAAAATGGCCGATACTTCCCCATAGAGCTCAATGTTGTCTTTGCACTAATATAAAAGTTGAAGGGAAACATGCTCCCTCCTCGTCTAAAAAAGTAATTTCCTTCGAAGAATGAACGATTAATTAAACACTAAACAATCACTCATTTTAAAAAATATTGTTTCTTCCCCAGAGATTTAGACATAATCTATCAATTGAAATGTCGAACTTTTTTTTCAAAGTTGAATTTACGCCGTACAATGAAATTCTATTTAGCTCATTTTTCGGTCTGCTACTGGGGACCCTTAACAGGAGCGCGAATTAGTCGGTGCGCTACAATTGAGCAGAGAACATTTTCGGGCATTTATCTTCTATGACTTTAAAGTCAGAGTAAAATAAGACCATTACTTTGAAAAATTAAGGGCGATGAAAGCCCTTCTAAAGCGACGGTTTACCACTGGTATGGAGAATTTAAAAGGGGGCGGGCATCATCATAGGCAGACGCGCAAAGAACTGGACGACCCTCTACAGTAGTTATACAAGAGAACGTAAATGCTGTGGTAGAATTAGTAACTAGTAGTCAACTAACATCTTAAATATTGGATCGGCAGCAGTGAACACTATTTTACACCTACACGTTTAGTAAAATCCGGAATTCCACAAGGTAGTAATCTCGGCCCATTACTTTTTATTATCTTCTTCAAAGACATTCCTGAACTGCGAACTAGCAATATCTTGATGTTTGCTGACGATATTAAAATTTTCACGAAAATTGACTCTCTGTCGGATGTTCGAGGGCTTCAACGGGACATTGACATAATATGCAGCTATTTGACAAATAACAATTTGCAACTTTCAACGGACAAGTGTAAAGTCATGACCTATACGAGAAAAGTAAAAGCTATCTTAAGTGGTTACTACTTGAGCGGTAACGTTGTTGGTAGATGCAACACTATAAAAGACTTATTATAGGCATTACATTCGACAAGTTATTGTCATTTGTGCACTACATTAACAATGCGGTGAACAAAGCTTCCAGAATGTTAGAATTTGTGATTATAAACTTTCGCGAATTTTGGAACATCAATTGTATCATAATACTTTATTCTTCCTTTGTGAGATCCACACATGAGTATCCTTCATTTATCTGATCACCCATATATCAGACACACACCGAAAAACTGGAAAGAGTGCAGCGGCGCTATTTAAAATACCTAGCTTTTAAATGCGACAACGTGTATCCAGAACGCGGTTTTACACATTCGTCTCTCCTTGATAGGTTTCAACATTTATCGCTGAAGCTAAGACGTGAGATTAGTTCCATTAAAATGCTATACAATATACTACATCATAAAATAGACTGTACAGAGTTAACAAAGCAAGTTACGTACAAAGTACCAAAATATCATACCCATGTAAAAGCATTATTTCACCTGGAGCGACCGAGAACAAATATGATAAAAAAGTGTCCTATATATTTCATGCTTAGGTTGTTCAACGACATTGCTGCGGACTGTGATACACATTTTGCTTTATTAAGTGTAATTATTAAAAGAATTATAGAAAATAATATCCAGATGTTCCACTGAGACTCCAAACACATTTCAACATTAATGGTCTGTACTATTTTGCATTTCCATCTTTTTTCTTTTTTTTTTCCTAGATTTTTAATGATTTCTTTTATCTTTTTTTTAACTTCTTTCATTTTTTTTTCTGATCGTTGTCCAGTAATTGGAACAGTAGTTCTGTTTGGGCAATAGTTTTGTAATAATAATATTAATAATAATAATACACTTGCAGGCAAAAAATTGCATCTCGTTGGGTGCCTCACAAGCTGACTTAGGAAGAAAAAGACGCGCGTGTGAATTGGTGCCGTTATATGCTGCATTGGTTTGAAAATGGGGCTTCCAAACGTGTCTCAGAAAGTGTTGCAATTGATGAAACCTGGGTGTACACATTTGACCCCGAGACAAAACAGAGTAATAAAAAATTTGAGTCTTTGAAATTGAAGACCGACCAACAAAAGTGAAAGTATTGGGAAGAAAATGATCCCTAGTTTTCACCTGCAACTGGTTTTATTACTTCAGTTCCGCTCGAGACGCAAAAAATGGTCAATGCTGAATGACACGTATCTATCTGCGACAAATGTTCAAATTAATCGAGGAAAAACGGCCGAAGACAGGGCTATGCGGCATTCAATTTCATCATGGCAATGCACCCGCACATTCTGTCCTGGACTTTTTAAGGCAGTACTCCCGTGAAATTATTGAGGCACCCGGCCTACAGTCCCCATTTAGCCCCTTGCGATTTTTTTTATTCCCTAAAACTAAGGAAAAGTTGAAAAGACGGCCATTTCAGTCGTTTGATGACGCACTTCGAGCTTTGCATCGCACCGACTACTTTGCGTTCCTGTTTAAGACTAACGTCCTAAGGAATTTTTGATTGAAATAATTTTTAAACTGCTTATTGATGATTCTTCATGAAAATTGAACGTGGCAACGGACACATTTGACTGATCAAATATTTGTTTGGATTCTCATGAAAAAAGTATATTACACTGGTGTAACTGGTTGTTTTATGTTTTGACTGGCTTATCTGATTTAAATCTCAAAGGACCATTAGTGTGCTCATCTTGAACTAAAATAGTAAAATAAATGCATCTCTACTTCGGTAATTCCGTTTATTTACACTTGTACATTTATTTAAAAGAAAGAACACAGTAAATATTCTATTCAATCTTTTTCACTTCTTAGAATAACACACAAAAAATAAAGCTTTCTGTACACAAAACAGAAAAAAATATAGTGTCACACTCAGAAACCGCCCTAACTTAATTACTTCGAATAATTAAAACTTCCGTGTAAATACGCCGTTTACTGTAAAACAAAATAAATATATTATAAATATAAAATAACAACTGTATAAAGCAAAAATTGTGTAAACCTGATGTAAATAAAATCAATTCTAGCGTATTCCCGTATATAAACTAAGAACAGATCTAGTTTCTTTTTGAGACCTTGCTTTACTAAATACATTCCAAAATCGCAAAGTCTCATCACCAGCACCTGTAACAATCGCTTCACCATCTGGTGACAAAGCTAAATACAACACTCTGTATGAATGTCCAGTTAACTTAGCTACTTGTGTAAGACTGGGGTACTTCCAAACTAAAATTTGGTTTTGTGAATATCCATGTGTTGAGACCAACTCCGAACTGTGTTTGGACCACGCCAAGTTGCAGACTTGTGAACCTAAACAGTGAATCATAAATTAAAAATATAATATGAACTACAATTAATGTCAAATACCTGTATCCACACTTTGCATTGGTTGGCCCGTCAAGGTATTCCAGAATCTTATACATCTATCTGCTGTTCCACCACCAGATGCCAAAAGACCGTGGTGGTGAGGTGACCACGCGATTGCTTTGACAGCGGCTAAATGGTCTGTGTATGTCTGTACTGGTGATAACGACTGCATGTTCCAGACATACAATCTGTTGTCATTGCCACCCGAAGCCAAATATTGGTTATCAGGAGACCATTTTAGGCCACACACCTCTTGGCGATGACCAACCAGTCTTCTCTCTGTCACAGACGCTGCAAGAAAAATATCGATTAGACATCATTTTCCTTAAACATGTCCAAGTTTGTTATCCTTTTACATGTCGATAATATGTTTACCGTTCAATTTAATTACTCATTGTTTTTATTTTCAAGATACTAATAAGTCGTTCTAACATAGTGACATACACATCGGGTCGATCACTCAAAAACAAAACTCGGTGAAAATATTCATAAAAAAACATACAATGCAACGATTATTAATTCATACACATTTGGTGACACCAAAGTGCCAGTACTATTTTTTACAATTACTGCCTGGTTTATTTCCATCAGAATAAATTATTTAGGTCATTTTAGGTCAAATGAATGAGTCGACGACACAAAAACATTCGGTGTAAGCTACTGATAACAAATTATTGTTTTATATATTTAACGCGACACGTGTATCCTGTAGTTACACCATAATTAAGTAATCGGTCAAGTTTCAAGTAATACTCCTTTATGACACGGATATTGCTACAAGGTCATGAACATTGTTGTTTTATATAGAAAGCATCATTGATTATTCTAAACATTCGATAAGTACAAAAACTGGGAACAATTAAATAATCCATGTTCTGAGTGAGTACTACTTGAACACGGCTAGAACATTAAACAAAATAAAGGCACATCCCTGTCCTTCATATTTATCTATAAATTTTGGTAACACTTTTTACAGAAAGTCTTGCCTATTTCATTTTATTCACCACCGGTGCTTAAAGTGACTTGATATTATTACTTTTAAAAGTGTGGCAAATTACCTGAGATTTAAATGAAAAGAGTAGAACCTAACTTATGTGCTAGACAAGGATAGTACGAGAATGGTAATTTCTTTCACGTATGCGTGGTAACAATGCCGAAGCTGATAAAAAAAATTCCTGTGTTTATCATGTGAGGTTAATTCGGAGTGTGGCGTACTGATATTGACAGTTTCGCGTCATGTAGCAAAAACGTCTCCGGCAAACCGATATGTCAGCAGCACGACAGATGGCAGTCAATTGAGAGTATACAGGATCGCCACAATGCCAATGAAAAATATCTGCTGCCAAAATAGATGGAAAACAAGAAGGAGAGAAACATATAGTTGCAATTGCCAGATTATCTCACATGTACTTATCCATTCACTAAACATAAATGACATAAAAATAAAAGAAGGTTGGTATAATAACAAATTCCCTTATACTCTTTTTAAATAAATATTAACGTTGGCGGCACTGACAAATTTTTTTAAACAAATAACTAGGATGCTTAAACGTCAATTTAAATATTGTCATTCATGTCATTGTAAGTTCAGTGCGCAATGGAATACAAACGAATTTTTTGTTTTTTTGCCTGAGCCAATTGTAAATTATTGTCTAGCAAGACAAGGATTCGCTCCTGATCTTCCCGAATATGCAATATGCAGACTAGCAGCAAGAATATTCATGGTATTTAAGACCCCAAATTTTATTCCTATTCCACGTAACCAATCCCTCACATTCTTTAGTGAAGGTAGGTGCAAAACATTTATCAAGCACGGGGACATAGACAACCACTTTTATAATGGTTTGCGATTATCAAACCATTAATGCATCCGTAAATGAAATCATCTGATGATGGGTCAGAAGAAGGTTTTGATTGTATCTCTGAGTCAGGATAAACCCTTTACCCTCCTTTTAATCTTACAGAACAGATGTTTCTTCATTATTATCTTATTTATGTAGAAATAAATCATTGAACACAAACCAAGAAGATCAGTTGGCATAAACTATAATTTTATAATGACAGGCCTATGCTCTGGTACATTCCAAGCGAAAAACATATTTCTCTAACTTTAAATAACTCCCTAGGTACACCCCGATTTGTGACTGGATAGCACTATTATAGTGTTACGTAAAGAGTGCGAATGTTACTGCTAATACTGTTACTTTGACTGACATATTAGTTGGGTTTCTCTCTGCAGTGCATACTTAAAATTTGTCCTATATAATATTAGTGCTCTAAACGGTGGTAAGATTACTAGATATGTATTATTTTATAAATTTTACATACACACGAATAACAGAGAAAAATATAACTAATTAATTTACCAGACAAGGTAAGAAAGACTGCAATAACTTGTAAGTATTGCACAAATGATTAGGGCCCGGACCCAACCGAGTAAAATCTTAGAACGCCGGTCATTTCAGTTTTTCCCCCAATAAAAATATAAAAACATAGGGAGTCTTTAAGGTATTTCTTCACTTTTGTAGCGTTTTGATAGTTTATAAGCAGTTTTTGATTTCCTTATGCTTATAAGGTGGCTGTAAGCTACAAGATAAATGTTTAGAACAATAATTATTGTCAATTTAAACGCCCGGTCTTGAGGTTTGCAACTCCAGGCACGCACCCCTATGGATTACTCCGCAATGTTCGTGTTTTATTTAATATATAGAAATACATGCCCTGATTCTTGGATTTTGCAAGCATTGGTTCACAAAAAAATTGAGTCTTATTAGTCTATACAGTAAAAGTAAAAAAATTCTAAAATATCGTAATTTTCAAATATTCATGTTTTTTTAATTATCATTCTTTTTTGTAGCGATTTTACTTTTTCACCGACACACCAAAATATAAGACTAGATAGATTTATACTACTTAATAATTATTATTAACACAATAAAAAAAATGTAAATATTATATAAATGATAGTTTGTATGATATTAACATAGAATTTACATTATCATCAATTTATATTATCAGTAATGAGTATTGTTGCTATTAGTAGTATTTCTCAAATCAAAATTCTTTGAATACATATTAATATTAAACATAATGTAAATTGTGTTTCTTCGTGTAAGCGTATTAATGCCAACGTTTTGTAAACAAATTCCGTACCACTTTTGTTCAGCTTTGATGATGGTATCAGCTGATGTGAGCACACTTTTTAAAATAAAATTTTCAATATATGTGGCGTCGATCTCATTCAGCTACTGCATTTAAAATACTAATAATAATTAATTAATAGAATGGCATGTTGCTGAATTCTATACAAAAGTTTTTTTTTAGCGTTATCTAATATTACAGTAATTGCTTTGATTTTATCAATTTTGTTAGAATACACTTTTTACACTTTTAGCTCGTTTAAAAGTTGTATCTGACAATACAGACATATTAGTATTTTTTAATAAATGAATTACACAGAAAATCCTCAATTTAATTTCTTTATAGTTTTTCTGCTAAAATCATCGCAAAGATCAATAAAGAAAAAAGTATCTTACGTGGAGTTCTAGTATCCCGCTGCAAGATGAGTCTATCTCTACTCCCCGAACTGAGCACATCTCCATTCCACGCGAGTGCTCCTACCCTCGCTGAATGTCCTTGTAATTTATTAACTTGTTTATTAACCGCCACATCCCACACTGTCACATAACCATGATGTGTCCCAACCGCAACCAGGTGCCCCCTTTCACTCCACGCCACTGATGTCACGACGTTTCCATCCGCGGACAAATCACATAGTCTCGTCACTTGACTAGTACATGCTGACCACAAGTACACACAGCTTCCTAAACCGACACTGAGAACATTTTGTACGGACCAATCGACTAGATTTAAGTAGAAGTCATCCTGGAGCTCTGGAGCGTCCAGGACTTTGAATGGTATCCTGGAGATTTTCCTGGTAGCTTTATGGGGAGAACGCAGAAGTCGCTGGCTGCTTACACTCAAAGGGGAAAGAGAGTATGGGGTGGATTGGAACTTGTTATTAGAGTTTTTGTCAGTCTGAAAAAAAATATATATGATATACTCGTATACGTCAAACATGACAAAATTGATTTGAAATTTTAATTAGGTGTTCCATGGGTCTCGTAAAATCCATTATTGATAATCGACAATGTCAACGCTGTTATCAGTAAACAATGTTGACCTACTTTTCCTATGCTTATACGTTTAGTGGTTTGTTTTCCGAACTGAACGAACAATAAGACCTGTTAAATAATATAAAACCTCTTTTTTAATGAAATAATAAATTATTTCCTTGAAAATGAATTAAAATAATACTCGTAACACTTAAAAAATATAATAAAAAAGGATTCAATATTTATTTATTTACTGCAGCTAGTCGTTACAATTTTTAGTTGTCGAGCGAGATGATCGTTTCAAAAAATGTTTGATGCTTTCTTGCCAAGTTTTGCTTTGTTATTTGTTTGTAGCTTGTCTGTTGGAAATATTTTAAACGAGTAATATTCGACACTACCCTACCGATTGTTCTGAAATTTTTATGTACTTTATCTCCACATCTCCTTTAAAAAACTAATGGCGTCTTTTCAAAATTTTGCACCTTTACCTTTGGTTTAATAAACACCCAAATTTTTATATACGATGAAATTTTACGATCATCTGAGAACTGCATTACGAATTCTTTGAAATTTTAGTAATAAAGCACTAATTTTTGTACAGGAACACAACTATTTATTTATCTGCTTTCATTCGACTGCTTGTGTTTCGGTATTGTTTTTTAGAACTGCGTGTTAAAAATCATTGTATGAACATATTTAAAGCCAAAACTCGCCTGTCGTTTACTAAGCTTTCTAACAAGCTAGATATCTAAAAGCAAAGGATTACCTACATCAAAGTAATTCAAAATACTGTAAATTTGAAATGCATTAGTTCATCACGAACTATCGTTTAAGCCCTTTTTTTTTACAACCAAAATAAATTTTATATATAATTATTTAGACTTTAATAATACCGTAACTGCCGTTTATAAAATGTTGAAAATGTTGATAAATAAAAATATATATATATAAAGGATCGGTACACTGAAAACCATTTTAAAAAGTAATTGTTTCGTTTTTTGAATCAATATTTGAGTCGTGTGACATAGCATCAGTCTCGTTATTTTATTATTTATTTTCATATCGATTTTTATATGTAATTTAATATGTAACTGTAAAATGCTGCAATTTCGTTCCAATATTATTAACGACATAAATGATTCTTATACATATCATTAAACTAGGCTATTTGTTGGATGATTTTCGGTTTATAGAACTGCAACGCTATAAAGATGTTTTCCGAGTTTGAACCGCGTGGAAATCAAAAAGGGTTTCGACGTTTCGCCCAGTTTCGTGAGAGGCATCTTCAGGAAGTGTAAGGCGAAAGAAGGAAAATCCGAAAAACATCTTTATATCAATCCAACCACAATGCTGCAGTGTTATATGAAAATGACAATTTACTAATTTTACTTCAGATGTACAGTCCACAAAATTGCCTACGCGTTCTCATAAAACTCGAAAATTATTGTGAAGACATTAGAACACTACAATTTTTTGTTCACGTCCTTCAAAAACTCATGACGTGAGCTTAAATTTTGATTTGAGTTTGCCAAATATTTAATTTTAAACAAAACATACCGTACTTTACACAATTCGGAAGGTAATTTGAGCTTGATTGTATATGTTACCGCCAATCTGTATAATTAGGTATTCTATACAATATCTAGGCAATGTATAAAATGCCTAAAATATTAAGGTAATGTATGACATATAATTAATTTTATACTTTGCCTAGGTATTCTATACAATGCCGAATGCGCAGCCAATAATGTGTGTAAAAGACGAGAGTAGGTAAGAGTGAGATACGCGGGGAGACAGTTAAACGCTTTTGTTTTCGGATCTAAAATTAAAGTTGGTAATCTTTGCCTGTCGATGGTAATCATAACCTGGAAAGTGAAGAGGATCTAGAAAATATTAACTTATCATCAAGTATTCCCATTGCTTCAGAATCTACAATAGTAGACCCAGTTCGGATGCAAAATCAACCTCTAGAGGCTCAACAAGATCAACAAAGCCCTGTAATAGAAAGTTCTGAGATCTATATTGAAGCTTTAAATGCTCAATAGTTTATAAAAAGTTTGTTATAATGAATAAAAAGTATTCGTGTCTTTAATGTCTAATATTATTTCATTGTGTAGGATCTAGTAACCGAAGAATAAATAAATATTTTTTAGTGCAGTAATTCTTAACTCTACTGCAAAAAGTACCTACCTTTTTATAAAGATTGTTTTATTTTACACATTGCCGATGGACCTCCAGGTACTCTATACAATCCCTAGGAGTTGTATACATTACCTAGGCAAAGTGTGCAATGGACAACCATATTCGTAATATTTCATACATTGACTAGACGCCTCCGGCATTCTACACATTGTCTAAGTATTGTATAGAATACCTGAATTATACAGATTGCCGGTAACATATATATATCTCAAAATTAACTTGTTTATCTAAATATAACTAAAATACGTAAATATCCTTAAAAACTAGTTGAACATAAATTGCAAAATTTATTTACTAAGAAAATCAATTTGTAAAATTAAGTAAACTAAATGAATTAAAATATAAAAAGAGGCAAAAACTACATGGCTAAATAAACTGCCCATTGCTTTTAGATTTGTTATATTTTGTCTGCCCATGAACAAATAATCGAACATCAATAACTTTTTATTTTGATATTCCGCGGACACATCATCATTTCAACAGTCCACTAATAACTGCTCTTAGGCTTTATAATATCAGTGCAGGAAAAGTTGCAGACATATTTTATGACAATTTTCGTAAAGATAATATAAGAAAAAAAATTTGTTATAGCTAATTCTAATTTGTATTTACGTTCCGCTATAGACTATAAGGCTGGAAGCATATATATATTATTACTACTATTAGTAGTAGTAGCAGTAGTAGTAGAAACATCAAAATTGAAAGGAGCAATTGGTAATGAACATACACTAACGACACCGTTTTTTTTTTAAGTTGAAAGAGATTATCATGGTTGGCCATAGTTGTGGAATATAAAATTTCGTATTCTCACTTGTTGGACTACGAACGTCTTCATATATTTACTTATGCACATATAATGCATTTAATTTTAATTTTCGATGAATTGTACACAAATACATATAATTCCAAACGAAACGGTGATGTGTTAAAAAAAAAGGTAAATCAATATTTTGTGTGCTCTGGGATACACTACAATAGAAGAAACTGCATACATTTTTAATTACTAATTCGCCATCAAATGAGTGGTTAATGTTGAACAGACATTGTCTTTCAGTTGCTAAGCTAGTCGAGCGATTTCATTATTTGTACATCCAATTGAAAACATTCCCTGAAAGAGCTAATGAACTGAAACAATGTCGCGATGTTCGCATTTTCGAATTGTCAGCTGCACGTTACCACAGAATTGCGAAAAACGTAAAAAACACAAAATTAGCAAACAAATGCAATATGGATACAAGAGTAGAGGTTTCCGTTTTGTGTCACGTTTCGATTATGTCACAAATCAAAACCTTTTTTCTTTTAAATAGTAACGTTATCTATTTTAATTTTGGCGGCGTGTACATGGCAAGTTTTTCACCATACCCCAATGATAACACGTTTTTATGTTTCTGTTTAAGCATTCATTTTCGACTATACAAGCACGAATAGCTATAAAAGTAATCGGAAATGCCGTTGCGTTGGTAAGAATGCGACATTGCTTTCCTTAAAAGAAAAACAATTTCCGCTCGGGCTTTTTTCGGCAGTACGATAAACCGTGTTATCTGCCCTACCGTAATTGTTATTCCTAGATTAGTGCCTAAATTATTTTAATTTCCCGATGAATTTCGTCATCAAAGAAATGTTAAAGCTAACAAATAAAAAATTTCCGGTTGAGTAATTCTGCACTATTTTTGAAAACGTGGAAAATATTTACTCAATTTCAACATCCATCAAACGACAAACATTCAGGAATTCATTCCATAAAAGCAATCAATGTTTGTTAAATAAAATTGCACACATCGTTACATCGTTGCATCGTGACAAGACCGCATCATTTTATTATGCATCAATTTACTGTATATGCATGATGATGCAATAGACACACCTCAAAAACTTGATGCAGGAAAATACGCATATACCAGGTATTTCTCAATGTCATGCCCTTTTGTCACAAGAACAGGAAGTTGAACATTATATTCAAATTTTTCGTTTCCCATTTACTTAAAGTATTTAAGGGAAAGTTGGACGTCATTACCATCAAATACACATAACGAAGCGATTATTATCGGGCATTAGCTAATTGCTGTCTGCGTTAGTAAGTGATAATTATAGAAAACTGAACACCAAATGACGACTATTTGTAGAAGTGGCTCCATTATTCCAATGGTTCATTTTACGACAATGCAGATGTTTTGAGTCGTGATAAGATAACCAACAGGGTTTCAAACTGTTTCAAAATTTATCATGTCGTTTGTAACGGACATAAATATTTAGTAAACAAAGAACTACATTAGTCAAGGGCAGCGTATGCTAAGACAACATAGTATAAGTCATTTTGTTTTTATTTTGTGAATTTTACCTGACTATTGAAAACATTCGTGGAAGTTCAAGCCTCGTGGTTATCGTTATCAAGAAAATGTGTTTAAAGTTATCTATTTTTCCATATAATGACGCTCATATCTTTTTTCCTAGTAACATTATTCTAAATTAACATAAGCTTTATGTTTCAAGTGTTTTGCTTGAAATCAAATAATATGTATATGCAACAAATAAATTCATAAATATAACTAATCAAAATTTTTAATAAACAGCGCTTGTAATTTTTGTGGACACATATCACAGCGATGCAAATCGTATATTTTGTACGAAGGGAAGAGAATGGATGACAACTCCTCTGGTGACGGGTAATACGTCTCAAAAATAAAAATAAATCTCTTCAATATCCTGGTAAATTTTTGTAATACGTAGTACAATTTCATTTTGTAACTTGTAAATATCAGCAAACTCACGCGTGATTTAAACTTTAAATTATACTCAACGTATGCAGTATACAATATTTCCCATTTTCCACGCAGGGATTTCCATATTTTCTGTGGTAAAAACAATCCTTAGAAATCGTTCTGGTACTTTTAAAATTGTGGTCTACGCCATCCTACAGAATGAGTAAGACTTAGATATTTTATAGTAGTCCAAGAGCTATAAGGTTATATGGCCATCATAAAATTATTCCATTGTGTCGAAGTTAAGTTGTTTACAACAGAAAGGGTTTTAGGGTCGTAAATAACGTGCCCACTGCAGCTCGACCGGCTGTTGTCGTTTCGTTCAGGGGCGACTTTCACTAAATATCTAAATGTAAGCAAGAAATGTTTAGAAGACGATTTATTGTCAACCGGTAAGCTTAGTGCGAACCACACAAAGGGGGTATTTATTTGCGGTCAACTACTTTTATGATGGTCATATAATTTTAAAGCTTTTGGAGTAAGTACTTTATTTCGTTGTTAAAAATTAGAAAATATTAATTTTTATACTGAACCGTTTAGTACAAAGCGAGTATCAATTTTGACTACTTATAAACATGAAATTTGTCGTAAAAACCAAAAAGAATTAACGGAACCTAGCATGACGGCATTTTTTTTTTTTTTTGAAGAGTAACGTCAACTTTAAAGTTGAGTCAAGTAAATTTGAACCATTTTTCATAACATATTTATCTAAATATTATCTACAGTATGTCCCCGGATTGAGTTCACAAGAGGAAAAAAAAACTGTATTTTCTATTTTACAAAAAAATGACATAGGACTAACATTTTTTGCTTAATTCAAAACTTCAATATTCCTGGTCTGTATAATTAATTTTTTCATATTTCGAAGTTCTTCGTTACTTTTAGTTTTTTTCGATTTTAAGGACAGCCTGATAATATTAAAATTTTAATTGCAGATTTATTCGTTTTGAATTAAGCAGAACATGTTATTCCTATGTCAGTTTTTTGTAAAATAGAAAATACAATTTTTTTCCTCTTGTGAACTCAATCCGGGGACATACTGTATATAATTAAAATTACATAGTGTATAAATGTACTAAAATTTCAAAAAATCGTCTCCAAGGGATACATAATGTGAACATGAAACATGAAATTCACTGTGTAAATAAAACCGCTTCCTTACTTTTATTAATTTTTAAAAAATACTAGTTTGTATATTATATATTAACACAAAATGTCTGAAAATATTTAATATAAATAAAAAAAATTACTGATTTCGCGAACAACCTTACAAATTTCTGTTAGTTAAATTGCAATAAATATTTTTTTTCAACCAACAGATCCGGAATACATTATTACATATTTAAGGCATTTTTTGAATTTTTATTTTTCATATTACATAGCAATGTCTGATTAATTTACTACTAATAAAAAAGTTTTCAAAAGATTTACCTAAACAGTTTCTTTTGGTTGCTGGTTATTTATTTAGTTGTACATAGAAGAGCAACATGTGTCTTCATCTTTTTTTTTTAAATAAAATTATCAGAATTTGAAAATATTTAAATGTTTCAGATATATAAAAATATTAGGTAATGACTCCCTGGAAGAAGTAACTACTGAAACATTTTTCTAATTATTTTTTTTTTTAATTTAACATGACCTTAAACAAAAATAAATTGTATAAAAAAACAAGCTTTAAATACTTATGTAAACAATTTTAGAGTTACCCAAAACCAAACTAACATTTAACTTTCCACTTTGATAATTTTTTTTGAGTTTTAAGGAACCAACTTCCACACTTACTAGAATCTTTTCCCAACGCAAATTTTACTCCATGCCCACATATTTACTTGACCTACTTAGAAGGCATAAACGCTGAATGTAATAGCTCTTATCACATTTTTAATAAAAACACAATAATAAAGTTCCAATTGTGTTAACCACTCTGACCCTGGATCACCATTTTTAATAGAAAAATAGCAAGTTTCCTCACTGTTAATATTTATTTCTAATTAAAATACAATTATTATGAATAACACAAAAATACTAACCTTTATTGGGGTCCCATATCTGAACAAGTTTTTGTTCTTGACAGGTGTAAGCACCTGCCTTTCGTCACACTGTGATTTGATGTCTTCAGTTGTCTCTCCAAATAATTCATTCCGTAACAGAATATTGTACACAGAACTGTCTCTTGTATTTTCTCCTGTCTCCCTCGTCTTTTTCCCTGATTGTGAAGTCTTACTAGTATCTGGTAAAGTTGCAAAACTAGTCTCCCAATTATTCCCAGCTCTACAAGGTATAAACCTGTCGCAATTTGCCAGCATTCGAGGCTCCTGGTAGCTCTTGACTCCAAATAAGTCCTTCGATACATGTAATTTCATTTGTCGGAAAATTCGGTCGTCTAAATTTTCGAGCGACATGTTTTCTCTACAACAATAAAAACACTGCTTAACTTCCCAAACACATATCCAGATCACCAATGTAAATATGATAATGTAATTCCCACTGGGGTTCAAATGTCACACTTTATCAAATGCATTGCAGCAATTTTGGATGCATTTCTGTATACTAACACTTCAGAAATGGAAAAAGTGCCCCCATTTTACGTTACAGTGCATTACAGTACTCACATTCACATGACGCACCTCAGGGAAAAATTTGATTTGACTGGTTGTTTGCAAACACGGTGGAAATTCGGAGAGAAAAAGCACTGCACTGTTACACTCGGAAATGCACAATGCTTGAATAATACCCAGGTGTAGTGAAATTGTCAGGAAGGAAGGTAATTATCATTACCCCCTCTCACACCCTGGACCTTTAAATCTGGAATTTAAACAACAACACAATGTGGCAACGTCCATATTGTTACTGGTCGCGACAGCAAGTATACCAACCAAACGACACTAAATGTTCATCGATACATTCTAAAGGTAGGTTCACGCACAAATTGCGTCAGGTTAACAAGTTAAGGCTCCTCCACACAGTCATTAAAAGATGCCAATATAAGGCAAATTTTCATTTTAACAGTTCAAGAGCAGGGCGATACATGTACATTTTCAGCGAAAACTAGTTATACCTCTGTGTGCTTTTGAAAAATATCGAGGCGACACAGAATTTTTTTCTACTTTGGGCGCCGTTTTTCGTTTTCTTCTAGAATTTTACTTCTTTTAGTTACTGTAAAAAAATGCAATGCATTGGGAGCAAATTTCGGTAATTACACAACCCAAAATATTAGCGTTCAGGCGGTAAGTTGTAATTTGTGGCCCACACAATAGAGCACCTTTTAAATACCTTAAGCTTATTTTGCGTTTTGTATGTTTGATAAACAGGGCGCCGAGATCCCTGCCTCTATATACTGAACTGCATTTACATATTAAACAATTACACAGGACAATATAAAAGTATATACTGTAATATGTAAATAATTATCAATTGTGTGGATAATAAGAACGAAGCAATCGATAAAATAATATTAATAATCATAAAATAAAAAGATAAAAAAAAGCAAAGACCCCTTCGATGCAGAAAATTCAACAATTCATACTTATTACAAAAAAAAACTCAAAATTTATCTATAAATCTATTTTCAATATATTCCCGAGTTGCTGATTTCGACTCCACCGCGAGTCAATAATTTCTGGTAGCATGGCATTTAAATAAACAAAATTCTAATTCATTTGCCATACCATACCACAAGTCATCATCTCTTTCAATCATAAATTCGTAAAATATTTTAAATCTACGTCAGTGTAGATGATAAAATAACATCATTTTCTTTTAGATATGCAGTTGACCCTGCACCTGATGCATATAGTTATGGTTAGGGTTCAAAATAAATTATCTGCATTTATTGTACAATAATTAATGATTTTATTTTTAATAGCTTCTTTAATATTTTTATCGCATTTAATCTCTGGAATTGAATGAGAATTTATTAACCCATCTAAAGAAGCTCCTAAAAATTTCTTTTCGTTATCTATAAATAAACCACATGAGACAAACTTTCAAATTTGTTAAATCTTCAAATTTTTCTTTGCCTTTTCCTTTATTGTCAATACCAAATTGTATAGACTTGGGCAATTTGGTATTTATACACTTAGACTTAATTGTTTGTAATAGGTTCGTATAAAATACTATTTACGAAAGTAGAAAATAAAATATCATTTAACTGTCCAGTTTTATGACACGATGTTCGTGATTGCCACATAGATTATATATATGCTGCGGTCCATTTAAAACATCCTTTTTAAGATATTCTATTTTTACTTCCCGAGCGTAAGCAAAGGAAGTATTGTAATCGAGTCCGTCTCCCATTTCCGTCTGGCTGTCCGTCTGTCCGTCTGCCCCGGATTTTTATTAGACAGATAATCTCCGAAAGTACTGGACCGATTGTTGTGAAATTTTGTACTTATATTAGGAATATCATCTAGATGGTAAAACGCTAACCAGAATTTGTCTAATCATCCCCACCATTAATGCGATGACGTCACTTCAAAATTGTACATAGTAAATGGGTCTTAAATTGAATAAAATAACATAGTCCTATACATGTAGTTTACGACTCCGAATTGAGTTTTTACCCGAAACGTTCAGATTTTTGGAAAAAAATCAAAATTGTAAAACAACATTTTGCAATGTAATTTTGAATCTGCTAACCCGAATGTTTTGAAATGTTGCAGATGTTTTAAGGCTCCAAAGAGCATCATAAATCTTTAGTCAAAATATATTTGGTTATCCCCTCCAAAAAGTTGATGACGTCAGCTCAAAAGTTTTCCGAATAAATCCTATCCAAAATGTACAAAATATGATGTGTCTGTACTTGTGATATATCACTCCATTCATATTTTTACTTCCCGAGCGTAAGCAAAGGAAGTATTGTAATCGAGTCCGTCGGCCGACTCTCTACTTTTACGTTTTCTCGATCTTTCATGACTCCTAGAATACGAAGAAATAGGTCTCCCATTTCCGTCTGTCTGTCCGTCTGTCTGTCCGTCTGTCCGTCTGTCCGTCTGTCCGTCTGCCGTCCCGGATTTTTATTAGACAGATAATCTCCGAAAGTACTGGACCGATTGTTGTGAAATTTTGTACTTATATTAGGAATATCATGTAGATGGTAAAACGCTAACCAAAATTTGTCTAATCATCCCCACCACTAATGCGATGACGTCACTTCAAAATTGTACATAGTAAATGGGTCTTAAATTGTATAAAATAACATAGTCCTACACATGTAGTTTACGACTCCGAATTCAGTTTTTACCCGAAACGTCCAGATTTGTGGAAAAAAAAATCAAAATCATAAAACAACATTTTGCAATTTAATTTTGAATCTGCTAACCCGAATGTTTTAAAATGTTGCAGATGTTTTAAGGCTCTAAAGAGCATCATAAATCTTTAGTCAAAATATATTTGGTTATCCCCTATAAAAACTTGATGACGTCAGCTCAAAAGTTTGCCGAATAAATCCTATCTAAAATGTACAAAATATGATGCGTCTGTACTTGTGATATATCACTCCATTCATATTTTTTGGATTTGCATATACAGGGTGACTCAAAAAAAATTAATGAATGCGCAAAATTTATTTTACTGATTTACTCAGGAACTACAAAACCGAATGCTTTGAAATCTTGAAGATGTTTTAAAATTATCATAAGCATGGTAAATTTTTGATCAAAATGTATTTGGTCGTCCCCTCCTAAAAAATTTATGACGTCACCACAAAATTTTGCTGAATAAGTCTTATCTAAAATGTACAAAATATGGTGAGTCTCTTCTTGCGATTTATCATTCCATTCAAATTTTTTCGATTTGCATATACAGGGTGACCGTAAAAAATTAATGAATGCGTCAATTTATTTTATTGATTTAATCAGGAATTACAGAACCGAATGCTTTGAAATCTTGGAGATGTTTTAAAGTTATCATAAGCATGGTAAATTTTTTATCAAAATGTATTTGCTCATCCCCCCTAAAAAATTGATGACGTCACCCCAAAATTTTGCTGAATAAATCCTATCTAAAATCTACAAAATATGATTAGTCTGTACTTGTGATTTATCATTCCATTCAAATTTTTTAGATTTGCATATACAGAGTGACTCAAAAAATTAATGAATGCGTGAATTTATTTTATTGAGTTAATCAGGAACTACAAAACCGAATGCTTTGAAACATAGGAGATGTATTAAAGTTATCATAAGCACGTTAACTTTTTTATCAAAATGTATTTGCTAATCCCTCCTCAAAAAATTTGATAACGTCAGCTCGAAAGTTTGCCGAATAAATCCTATCTAAAGCGTAAAAATATGATGAGTCTGTACTTGTGATTTATCACTTCATTCATATTTTTTAGATTTTCTTAAGAGGTGGTTCAAAAAAATTAATGAAGTCAATTTATTTTATTGATTAAATTAAAGGCAACACTTATTATTAGTATTACATTGGACCAACCCAATTTGGTAGACACAAAATTTTTTAAAGTAAAAACTCGGTTGAAACATAAGGGTAGCACGCTTATTTACATCGACTTTAACATTACAGACGTGTGCGCTGTCTAGGTTCCGCAAATGTGGAATAGACATGTTTATAATCAACCAATTGTGAATTCCACCGTCAAAAATTAAAATAAAACTCAATGTTTTATATAATAAGCGGAAGTCGAAGCAATAAAACCGATGGTTGTTTTGTTTACAGTTTCTCTGTTTGACTCTCACGTTTGCTGTTACGCTTGTCATCTTAAATTAAGAATGTTTATACATAAACGATTTTCAGTTGCCTCTCTTATTACTAGACAGCGGATTTCTGTCGGGCTACGTCACGATTATAGGTGGGGACGCGCTGGATCGCCGGGACTCAATAGCGGGTGATAGATAATGACTGAATTTAATCGGTACTAATTCCATAAATATAATTAACGATTTATTAATCAAACGGCTAAGTAAATGAGAACGGGAATTAACAGCAGAGTGCAACGAAACAGCGTTATTCTAATCTCAAATAAACGAAGTGCAGTCCGTAACCGCAATGAATTCGCATCCCGTACGAGCCGTACCGAGTTTGGCCTTGCCTAGCCCGACAGAAATCCGCTCTCTACATATTACACACCGGCGCCGTATACGTGAGTAAATTGTTTCGTTATTTTATTGATTATAACAAATCAATATTCAAAACGACCCAATTCATTTTACCGAATATTTGGGAATACAATAATTTTATTCTTAGTATTACACTACATCTATCCCAACTGATATACGTGTCCTTGCAAAAATGTTGATGACGTCATCGCAATTTTTTTTAAATTCCCACTACAAAAGTGTAATGAGAAAAAAAAATTGGTCTAAAGAGTTTAGACAGTACTTCCCTCGCTGTCGGAAACTTGACGACTGCATGCCTATTATGTTTTTTTTTCTCATTACATTTTTGTAGTGGGAATTTAAAAAAAAATTGTGATGACGTCAACATTTTTGCAAGGACACGTATATCAGTTGGGATATATGTAGTGTAATACTAAGAATAAAATTATTGTGTTCCCAAATTTTCGGGAAAATGAATTGGGTCGTTTTGAATATTGATTTCTTATAATCAATAAAATAACGAAACAATTTACTCACGTATACGGCGCCGGTGTGTAATATCTAGAGAGCGGATTTCTGTCGGGCTAGGCAAGGCCAAACTCGGCACGGCTCGCACGGGATGCGAATTCATTGCCGTTGCGGACTGCACTTCGTTTATTTGAGATTAGAATAACGTTGTTTCGTTGCACTCTGCTGTTAATTCCCGTTCTCATTTACTTAGCCCTTTGATTAATAAATCGTTAATTATATTTATGGAATCCAGCACGTCCCCCCCTATAATCGTGACGTAGCCCGACAGAAATCCGCTGTCTAGTAATATGAGGGGCAACTGAAAATCGTTTATGTATAAACATTCTTAATTTAAGATGACAAGCGTAACAGCATACGTGAGAGTCAAACAGAGAAACTGTAAACAAAACGACCATCGGTTTTATTGCTTCGACTTCCGCTTATTATATAAAACATTGGGTTTTATTTTAATTC